GAACAATACAATGTCATTATCATATCATATTAGACATTATAATGTTTCCATTCCTAATTTAGAACAATACAATTAAGGCATTATCATCAAGCATCATATTCAAGGACATTATAATGTTTCTATTCATAATTTTAGAACAATACAATTACACTGTCATTATCATCAAGCATCATATCCAAGGACAATAATGTTTCTATTCATAATTTAGAACAATACAATTATATAATCAAGTATCATATTCAAGGACATTATAAATCCTAATAGAACAATATACTGTATTATATCAAGCATCATATTCAAGGACATTATAATGTTTCCATTCCTAATTTAGAACAATACAATTACACTGTCATTATCATAGCATCATATCCAAAAGGACATTATAATGTTTCTATTCATAATTTAGAACAATACAATTACACTGTCATTATCATCAAGCATCATATTCAAGGACATTATAATGTTTCCATTCCTAATTTAGAACAATACAATTACACTGTCATTATCATCAAGCATCATATTCAAGGACATTATAATGTTTCCATTCCTAATTTAGAACAATACAATTACACTGTCATTATCATCCAAATATTCAAGGACATTATAATGTTTCCATTCCTAATTTAGAACAATACAATTACACTGTCATTATCATCAAGCATCATATTCAAGGACATTATAATGTTTCTATTCATAATTTAGAACAATACAATTACACTGTCATTATCATCAAGCATCATATTCAAGGACATTATAATGTTTCTATTCATATTTAGAATAATACAATTACACTGTCATTATCATCAAGCATCATATTCAAGGACATTATAATGTTTCTATTCATAATTTAGAACAATACAATTATCATTATCATCAAGCATATATAATGTTTATTCTAATTTAGAACAATACAATTACACTGTCATTATCATCATTAAGATAATAATCTGGTGCTGGAGTAATCAAGTGTTCAATAATATTTGGGCTTTTTTTTTTTTTTTTTTTTTTTGCTTGAGGTATTCAGATTTACTTTGAACATTATGGGTAATTTGGTTATAAATAGTCAATTTTTTTTTTTTTTTTTCCTTGCAGGAATTCTTTGGCGAAATGGATTCAGTAGATGATTTTCTTCATCAAAACATCTTCAAGGAAGGGGCCGTTAATCTGGATTCGGCATGAACAGGTTTGCCTGCCCAAAACCCTAGAGATTATGCAAAACCCTGCCAGGACCAGATTGTGGAACTACCTGAATATGAATACAGAGTTCTTTTTTTTATCTTTGTTTTTTTTTATTTACACAATGTAATTTGATCAAGGCATGAACTATTTTTAGTGTGGAAAGTAATCCTGAGTGAATGAGGAGAGATATTCGTTGTAAAAAGGTATGGGAGAGTGGGTAATCAGGTTAGAATGTGATGGAAAAAATTTAAATTGGAAGGCATTGGGAAGATTTTAACCTAAATTAAACCAAATTAATGAATTTCTTTAATTGCTGGCCATTCGTATTTGAGGATACCTGTCAACTAGGGCAGCTAGCTAATCCCAATTGCAGACGCTTTGCTCTGGTGCATTTTTTTGTTTGTTCAACACTCACAGAAGTTTATAGTGCAACTCTGCTGAGCAGACCTTAGTTACAGTTTCTGGGAGAGAAGCGTATCATCTATAATGATCTATAATGTGAACAAAGCCAGCACCTTCGAATCCTCAGTCACGATGACTTGTGATTTTGTGCTAGCACAGCCATTGGTGTCTCTGAAGGCCATCTGCCCAATTTCACTCACAAGGCTTGGGTTAACCTGTGGTATGCTTTCAATCATTTTCCAAATTGCCATATGCTGGGATCACCTCCTTCAGGTCGATAACATCATGAAGTCACCTACCTGACAACACAACCCTGATAAAAAGCAAATGTTCTAAATTGCCCATAAATAAACAAAGTAAGATTCAGTAAAATCCAGTATGACTGAAACTCCCAGGCCGGAAGAAGTTGGGACGTCATGTTTGCCAAAATTGTACAAAATCCTGACAAAGTTAGTAAATGTTATTTTAGTATTCTACATAGCAGAATTACATTGAAACCTTACCAAACTGTTTGGTCCTCATACTTTAGAAGCATTGGTTACTTACAATGCTACTTTGTGACACTAAAGGCCAGAAATGGTTAATTTAAATATAAGCTGGCATAATATATATAATATAGGTGAAAAATATATATATATATATATATATATATATATATATATATATATATATATATATATATATATATATAATGTAACGGATATAAGAGATTTTCTCTGGTCCCAAATTAGAGCCTGTGTTAATGTATAAAATAGACCAAACCGGATATAAGAGACTTCTCCGGTCCCGACAACTCTCTTATATCTAGGTTATATATATATATATATATATATATATATATATGATGAGAGAAAGTGGGAAGACATTTTCTTTGGTGACAGTGAAAAAGGGCCATCTGGCCACATGCCCTACAAATTGGAACAATGAATCAAGAGTTTTGTTTTTTTTTTTTTATTTTGTTGAGGAATGGTGGAGTAAGAAGATCTGGGATTGAGGAAATTGGAGAGCAGAGTTCAATTCTTAGTCAAATCCATTACATACGAACTCCCAGATATGAATACCCTTGAAATCCTCTTCTTCACCCTGCAGCTATCAATATAGCTTGACAGACTAGGGTTCTATCTTGGGTGGCAACTGGCCTAGGAGAAGGAAACCTGGATCCTCCAAATTGGGGGTTAGTGCAGCAGGCTAACAAATACCACCTAAAAAAAAACCTGGGGTATTGAAAATGCAATGATATCTTGCCCCATGTTCCTCAAGGAATTTAAAAGGCATTAATATATATATATATATATATATATATATATATAAAATTGTCCTATCTATATAGAGGTCCCTCCTAGACCAGTTGCCATACAAGGCTAGGTGTCCTGCTATTTATAGCTGGGACCCTTCCCAAGGGTATTAGCACATAAGGAATGTAATGAGGATTTTTGGGGACCTTCATCAGGTCTCAGTATTCAGCCCTTCAAAAAGTGTGGATGGTCCTTTAATTTCAAACCTTCACCACTATAATCAAATCTCATGTGCTGTTGTCGGGCTGTCAGTTTCCTAGGAACTGATCTGCTTGACCTTATACATCAAATTCGATGGAGAGTAGATATATATATATATATATATATATATATATATATATATAAATAATGGTAGAGATAGAATTAAAGACCTTTTCCTGGTGATAGAAAGGGAAAATTTATCTGGATTGTTTCACTCCTACAAATAGAAACAATGCATCAAGACTCTTTTTTTTTTTATCTTGTTGAGGACTTGCAATGTGTGGTCAACATCGATGCCTCAAACATACAAAATTTATCATTTACAAACGGCAATTCAAAACAAAGACAAAACACTTGGTTCAACCAAATCCAAAATAACATTAAAATGAAATGACCATATGTATCGACCGTGTGATTCCATTGTGAATGGTATTAGTATTCAAGTATATAGGTAAAAGTGGTTTCCACAGTTGTGCATGTGGTGAAGAGTTCAAAATGTCTTTTCCTTAATCACATTTGTGAGATAGTAAAAAGAAAAGTGTCAATGAAACAGTACTTAATTGGTTTCACTAATATGGGATGTCCCCAGTTCCTGACCTGGTTACCATGGTGATGAAGTGAATAAATGAGTTTGTTCTTTGGCTGTGGTGATTGAAGGAATGGAAAAAAAGGGATGAGTGACTGCTTTCCTTCCATCTACTAACATGAAGTTCAGGCAGATTTCTCCCTCCTGAAATGAAAATTTCTGTGCTATTTATATGTTTATGATGGCTGTCGATGATGTAGGGTGCGGATGTAGTTGTAAGCTCAAATTCACACCTACTCGAGATCAATGCTCACAGCAAGAAAAATGAGTGGAGGAAAAACACGTATTTTCTGACCAATCATTTTTTTAGGTCTGCCACAATCTATTTGGAATCTGGCATGTAGGTAGAACGAAATGAGAAATAATTTCATCTCTTGAGAATTTCAGAAAACAAATATTGATAATGAGGAGAGAGATAGGTGCAAGAATGAATTGGGAAATAATTTTATCTCTCACTCGAGGGTTAAATAAGAATGAAGTTTTCTTATAGGTTGGAAGTACAATTAAGGCACACTGAACATAGAAGAGGAGGAATGAGCTTTAGTAAATTGATGGCAGAAAAGGATTTGGGAGAAATAACAAAAAGACAAAATTTATCATAGAGCTATGAAGGATGGGACATTGTGGAGAGCCATGATTGCTTACACCCTGAAGGCACGCTGAACATAGAAGAAGAATGAGCTTGATTAAATTGATCTCAGAAAAGGATTGGGGAGAAATAACGAAAAGACAAAATTTATTATAGAGCTATGAAGGATAGGACGTTGTGGAGAGCCATGATCACCTACACCCTGAAGGGACATGACACATAAAAGATGATGATATTTGAATTAATATCCTCATCTTCATTGTTATCATAATATTTCAGCCATTGTGTCTTCTGGCATGGATAAAAATGTTTGTTTATGAATTTGGTGATATAGTGGTTGTAAGTTCAATCCCTGGGTCAGGCAGGGTGTACTTGCAATCAGTGGAAACAGAACAGTACTAGATAAAATAAGAACTAGATGAAGTATCCCTTGACAGGAGCAGTGATAGGAGAACTGTCTACCCCTGGGGATTAAATGAACAGTTCAAGTCAGAATCACCTGTAGATTAGCCAGATCGATATACACCTGATGAAGGCTAGAGGGTACAATGGCTGAAACATTACAATAGCAACAAACAATACGAGGACAATCATCTGAATATCAATAAAATAAAGGACAGAAGCTGTGGAGACACATGATCACCCACTGAAAGCATACTCATCTAAAAAAAAATTAGCAAGGGTTTTGTTCTCTTATTTTTTACTATTTGAATATTTAAACAAGTTCTTTTTTCTTTTTCCATTTCAGTTGATGAACTTAATACGCCTACTCCCACTTGTCCTCCCAGCAATATATTACAAAGTTTAGAGCCCTCGATGTGGGCCAATAGTAACCTCTTCTTGTTCACCCCTGATAATTCATTTGTAAGTATACAGTTTACATTTGTATGTAAACAGTTTATTGGGTGGGAAAGTTCTGTTTCTGATGTTAAATTGCATTAGGAGCGTTTTGTTTGGAACTGACTTCATTTAAGAAGATGGCTTTTGTTTGAATGCATTTTAACCCTTTGAGCTTTGCATTCCTGAACAACTTCAACCATTCTGACTGAGTTCCTGGTTCTAACTTTGCAAATAATTGGTATGTATTCACAGTAGATATAAAAATAGTTACAAGTGTTTACCTACTGTTCAACCGGTGGCTGGGCATTGCGTCATTTTTCTCTACCACTGTTCAACCGGTGGCCAAGCATTATGCCACTTATTTTCTCTACCACCAGTAAAGCGGTGGTCAGAGCTCGAAGGGTTAAGAATATCGTCAAAATTGGCATATATTTTTTTTTTTTGTTAATTTTTAGCATGGAAGGCAAGAAATTAAACCATGCTTTTGACCTTTTTTCTTCTTTTTTTTTAAATTTTTATTTGGCATTGACTTGTCTAATTTTAAGCTAAAAATGCAAGAAAAGTGATCATGGAGAAGGTAGTGCAAATAATCAAATTAATCAAAAAGGGTTTGCATTTTTTTTTTTTTTTTTTTGAATGATAAAAGTTAATGCTGACAATTGAAAAAAATTTTATTAGGTTGAGTCATAAATAATTTCCATTTTATTTATCAACTTCATTCTTCAAAAAGTAAAGTACAATTGAATTTTATTCAATTATTCACCATAATTTGCAATGACTTGTGCAAATTAATTGAAACAAAACAAATAATTCTATTATTATTTACTTTTTTTTTTTTGTATTTTCCCAATGAAACATGACCCAGTGCATATTTTAGTACAAAGTCATTTCTTACAGATTCTCAATTGGATTTAAATCAGGAGAATTTCCAGATAAGTCTATAGTACTTTGATTTGCTCACTGATAAGGCTTGTGCAACATTAGAATTATCATACACTTCCTTGCCAGAGCAGTTTTAAGGCGGCACGGATATTGGGAAAGGGGAAAGAAATGTTAGTTAGCATCGTGTTAAAATAAAAGTTTTCAGTGTTTGCTGTATTCGTTCAATTTTTCAATTGTTTCTTTCAGGATCTTTCAGTGGATTGGTTCGTTAATTTTGCCAAACTGTACTGGCTTAGCGGCAAGTCTTTTGAAGAAATCTGTGATCATAATGCTTCCATTGCGCAGAAGCTCAACAGAAAACAGGTAGAACTCTTTGTCCAAAATTTTAATGTTTTTTTTTTGTTTTTTTTTTTTTTTTTTTTTTTTTTTTTGGGAAAGTGATGGCAAGAAGATATTGGTATGAAGTATTTTTAATCATTTCACCCCAAGCAAGGCAATAAAGCCACTAAGATACAAAGTAGTTGGTGGTGGTGGTGGGTTACTGAATGAAAGAATAAGAGAAAAAGAAAAGCATAATTAAGGAGAGAGTAGAATAAAAGAACAAGAGTAAAGAGTATAAAAGATAACGATTAACACTGCACTTAATTCTTTGAGGTTAATTGGAAAGCAAGACAGTTTCACAAGAGGAAACTGTGAGAGAAGAAACTGTTAGCATAGAACTGATAGTTACATCTAGCTATGTCAACTGTAAAATGATGAGACCTAACTGCCAATCTAGTAATATGCTTAACCGTAGAACAATAACCATGGGTATATAGTACCCAGCGCAGAGTTTCCTATTTTTAGTTACAATTTTCAGTACCTGATTTTCTTACCTAAATAATTTTTTCAGTTCCTATTAATGTTAACTCAAAATACAAAGTTTGAATTGCCTGCATGTAAATTATTTCAAATGAAGATTTACATTTAATATTTTTTTGATATTTTCAAAATCTGCATGTAAATAATAACTCTTTTTCCCAGAAATTCAGACAAAAAGGATATTGGTCTATATCTCTGATATGTGGTATTATGATTACTTACATTATTTACATTATTCGGACTGTTATCCTCATCTTTATTGCCATATTCACAACGTAGCTTCTACTGAAACTTTTCTAGGTGTCTCCATATTTTTGGTATATCGGATCCATATCGATTCTTCAATATCTGTCTATATCTCTGTGATGAGGTATTATGATGACTTGCATTATTTACATTATTCGCACTGTTTTCTTATCTTCATTGCCATATTCACAACGTCGCTTCTACTGAGACTTTTCTAATTGTCTCCATATTTTTGGTATATCGGGTCCGTATCGATTCTTCAATATCTGTCTATATCTCTGAGATGAGGTATTATGATTACTTACATTATTTACGTTATTCGGACTGTTAACCTCATCTTCATTGCCATATTTACAACGTTTCGGCCGTTGTGCACTCTGGTTTTTATGTGTATGTCTCTCTATATATCTGTCTATATCTCTGAGATGAGGTATTATGATTACTTGCATTATTTACATTATTTGGACTGTTATCATCATCTTCATTGCCATATTCACAACCTTTCACCTATTGTACGCTCTGCAAGGACATATGACCCAGTAGATAAAGACGTGAGTTAGATCCAGTGACTGGGCCCAAAGAGTTGTGAGTTCAATACCAAGCCACAGCAGTGGTGAACTAAAAATTTGGAGAGCTCAGTTAAAGGGAAATAACTGAGACATCCGAAAGAGGCATGTCATGTGGAACACTAACAATCTACCCGAGAGGACAGAATAAAGGGTTTGGTTTGAAATACCGATCACCTGAAGGAGGCTGAAACGTTGTAAATAATGCAAGTAAAAGGATATGGGTTTATGCCATTTATATATAAATGGTGTAAATATTTTTGAATTGTTTTAAAATTCTTTAAAACTCATTCAAGATTTGTTAAGTCACTTTAATTTGCTAATGTACATAATTTTTTTTTTTTTGCTGGTCCATTTTCAAATTAGTTCAGTTGTTGTCTGCAATCTTCACTCATTTTAGGTCTCCCTGACGTGGTTAATTCTGAAAACCTTGTTCACCTGTACCTCTCCAAACAATATCACCCCGCCTTATCATGCAGGACCTGGCTATCCAATCCTCAGTGAAAAATCAGATGTAGAAAAGGTGAGAAAACATTATTTTATTGAAAAAATTTATTTTTTTTTTTTTTTTTTTTTTAACCATCTTGATTCTGATATTTAACCCGGATATAAGAGAAAGGACCGGAGAAGAAGTCTCTTATATCCGGGTTTGGTCAATTTTATACATTAACACAGGCTCTAATTTGGGACCAGAGAAAATCTTTTATATCCGGGTTTCTCTTATATCCGGTTAGTTGCCAGGTAACCCGGATATAAGAGAGTTGTTAGGAGAAGAAGTCTCTTATATCCAGGTTTCTCTTATATCCGGGTTTGGTCAATTTAATATACATTAACACAGGCTCTAATTTGGGACCAGAGAAAATCTTTTATATCCGGGTTTCTCTTATATCCGGGTTACACTGTACAGTGTAACCCGGATATAAGAGAGTTGTCAGGAGAAGAAGTCTCTTATATCCAGGTTTCTCTTATATCCGGGTTTGGTCAATTTAATATACATTAACACAGGCTCTAATTTGGGACCAGAGAAAATCTTTTATATCGGGTTTCTCTTATATCCGGGTTATATCCGGATATAAGAGATCAGGAGAAGAAGTCTCTTATATCCGGGTTTGGTCAATTTAATATACATTAAGACAGGCTCTAATTTGGGACCAGAGAAAATCTCTCTTATATCCGGGTTTCTCTTATATCCGGGTTTGGTCTATTTTATATACATTAAGACAGGCTCTAATTTGGGACCAGAGAAAATCTCTCTTATATCCGGGTTTCTCTTATATCCGGGTTACACTGTACTATTATTTTCCATGCTTTATTTACATTTTTATTTTCATAAAAAAAAAAAAAATTACTTATTTTTCTGGCATTAGGAGCATTTAGTTTTAACTTTGGAAATGACGGCTTTTGATTGTGTTTGGCATGTCTCACAGCATATTATTCTTTACACGCAGACAATTGTGCTCATCCTTTTTTTTTTTTTTTTAAATCATTTCACCTCAAGCAAAGCGATAAAGACCCTAAGATGCAAGGTGTGGGGAGGTTCTGAGTGCAAAAGAATATAAGTAAAACAATATTAGAGAGAGAACAATAAAAAAACAGAAATTAAGATAACGATTGACATTGCATTAAACTTTTTGTCTGGAAAGCAAGAAGCTACAAGAGAGTTCTACATGGTAAGTTGTAGGATTTTTACTTCATTCCACAAGGGTTGAGGACTACACTTTTTTTTTTTTCTCTATACATGATTTCATTGTCTTGCCCCTAATTACAGCTCTTCCCTGTCCCTTCTGCCTCAAAATATATTAGATAAATTAAAATATTAGTTATTTTTATTCACATTGTTCATATGCAGACTTGATGCAAAGAATGTATACCTCCATTGGGCATGCAATGCTTTAAGGAGTATCTTCCTGTTTAAATTTTGGAATCTAACATTTTTTTTTTGCTTCTATTTTCTCCTTTTAGTTTTAATGAGCTAAATGAGTTAAATTAATGAACTATTTTTCGTCTCCTCCCGGCTCGAGCTGTTTTCCGTCTTCTTTTGGTATAAGCCGTGCTTCTAAGTTATAGCTTCACTTGCTTAGCAGTAATGTGAACAGAGGCTGACCAAAAGGATTGTTTCTGGACATGAAGCGTTCTTCAGAAGAAAAAAATAATGGCAAAAAAACAACAGGTTATCTAGATATTGAATCGAATAATCAAAAAAAAAAATAATGGAAAAAATAACAAAAAGAAACAACAAAAAATACAACAGGTTATCTAGATATTGAATCGAATAATCAAAAAAAAAAAATAATGGAAAAAATAACAAAAAGAAACAACAAAAAATACAACAGGTTATCTAGATATTGAATCGAATAATCAAAAAAAAAAATAATGGAAAAAATAACAAAAAGAAACAACAAAAAATACAACAGGTTATCTAGATATTGAATCTAATAATAAAAAAAAAAAATAATGGAAAAATAACAAAAAAGAAACAACAAAAAATACAACAGGTTATCTAGATATTGAATCTAATAATCAAAAAAAAAAATAATGGAAAAAATAACAAAAAGAAACAAAAAAAAAACAACAGGTTATCTAGATATTGAATCGAATAATCAAAAAAAAAAAAATAATGGAAAAATAACAAAAAAAGAAAAAAACAAAAAATACAACAGGTTATCTAGATATTGAATCAATAATCAAAAAAAAAAAAAAATAATGGAAAAAAATAACAAAAAGAAACAACAAAAAAATACAACAGGTTATCTAGATATTGAATCGAATAATCAAAAAAAAAAATGGAAAAATAACAAAAGAAACAACAAAAAATACAACAGGTTATCTAGATATTGAATCTAATAATCAAAAAAAAAATAATGGAAAAAATAACAAAAAGAAACAACAAAAAAAATACAACAGGTTATCTAGATATTGAATCGAATAATCAAAAAAAAAAATAATGGAAAAAATAACAAAAAGAAACAACAAAAAATACAACAGGTTATCTAGATATTGAATCGAATAATCAAAAAAAAAAATAATGGAAAAAATAACAAAAAGAAACAACAAAAAAAACAACAGGTTATCTAGATATTGAATCGAATAATCAAAAAAAAAAATAATGGAAAAAATAACAAAAAGAAACAACAAAAAATACAACAGGTTATCTAGATATTGAATCGAATAATCAGGAATATGTGACCAATTACAGGTGGCAAAGAAACACATAAGCATAAGATTTTTTTTAACAGTGTTGACAAAAAAATTTCGGCAGAAATATTTGGACAATGTTTTATTAATATAATCATTATTTACACTATTTACATATTATCCTCATTTTTGTCATTACCACAGCATTTCGACCTTTTGTCCAGCCTTCTTCATGTGTATATAGATTCGTGTAACTTACAACTGATTAAGGCCATCAACTCTGGTCAGTACCTAGATTGGTGATCGTTTGGTACCGTATACTTGGATGTGTGGGTGGTGTAATGGATAATGTCTTGGAAATGTTAAACAGAGAGCCGAGTTCCAAGTCCAGTCAGATTCGTTATATTTACTTACGTGCAAGTGTCTTTGGGAAGGGTATGAATCCACCTCTTTGCCTCTCAGCTATGAGTTATTTATTAAGACTTGTATCATGTACCTATCCAGTCCTGGGTATGACGATAAACTACAAGGCCTCCGATCAGGAAACTGAAGGTTTTGAGGAGCATGGAACTACCTCTTAACAGCTGCCATTCCTAGGTCCACCCTGGCCTGAAGTGAGAGCACCTGTTTTGACCCAGCTAATAGTAAACTCCCAAGCAAAAAATCAACGGCTCTTTTTTAATAATAAAATGAGAAGCAATATATTTTTATAGCAAAGTGACAACACTAATAAAATATAAAAATACGTTTTTATAATAAAATTACTAACAATACATTTTATGATCTACAAACTTCTTTCTTTTGATGTGCCATGTCTTATCAGGACGTAGGTGATCATGGCTCTCTGCGTCGTCTACTTTCTAACTTAATTTTTAAGTTTGAGACTAATTTTTAGACTAGTTAGGTTAGTTGTAAATTTAAAAAAAGAAAAAATCGTTACAAACATACACAGGACATGTAAATGAAGCCTATTCCTTTTTTTTCTTCTTCTTTTTTTTTTTTTTTTTTTTTTTTTTTTTTCAACTAGTAAGGCTTTGTTATTTGAAGACAGGAAAAGTGAGAAAATACATTTTGTTTTGTATTTTTCCCCCTTTCTTAGTCTTATTTTATTGAAACACAGTCGCCATTCTCAGCCATTGGGGAGATGATCATATGTCTGATTTTACCCAACCCCCGACCATGGCTCAGTGGTATTTGAAAATGGAGATGCTTCTTGTTAAAGTCATCAGCAACATTTCATTAAATGATCATTTGGTTCGAATATAGCAAGAATTGAACACAAGGTCCCATGGGTAAGTAGAAAGAAGCGCTTTTTTCCATAGTGCTGGATAATCGCATATTGTTGTAGTAAGAAGCAATGGAACTTCTGTTAAAACTTAATTTTAACCCCCACTCTTTTCAGTAAGTATTCCAGTTGAAATGTCAGCAATTAAACCAACCTATCCCACTCCAAGTTAGGAGTGAGGCAGCTCGTTAGCAAGCCAGTAGAACAAAAAACAAGACCTAACAAAGGGTGGAATAAGCAGCCTGCTAATTGGAGGTGGTGTCTCCATAAACCGCCGTGGAGAAGGCAATGGGAAACCACTCCACTACCAATCCCCAAAAAATGGCTAAAAACTCAGAATATACGATCTACAAACTGTGTATCTAAAAAACATACCTTTACTCTGAAATTATAAAATTATATATCTGTTGAAAGCATAAAATATTTAAATTTCAGCATTAAATAACCCATAGAGGTTGACATACTGCTAAACAAAAACAAACAAATGAGCAACCAAGCTGACGACGGTCAGTGGACACAATAGTGATGATAGCAACAACAAAGATGAGGACAATAGTCCGAATATAAATCGTGTCACTAAGGATAACTTCTCATCTTAGAAATTCAGATGGAAATTACTCAAATTATATTTTACTATATTAACAATATTCGTACAACCTAAATTCACTGAAACTATTTTTTTCTGAATATGCTTTACCGAAAGGAGATTGAACCTTGTATGCGTTATGCTGTCCAACACTGCTCCATTGGTCCATTGGTCATTTGCTTGTAGTGAGTTTCTTTCTTTGGTTTCTTTTCAGGCAAAATTGTCGAAGCAATTGCAGACAAAAACTGTGAAATTGAAAAAGAACACCCTACTGGAGAGAACACTTCAGGTAATGTAACATCTATCCAATCGTCCCAAAATATATTCTGTTCAGAAATTATAAGAGCATTGAGGAAACAACTGAGCATCCCCCACTCCTCACCCCACTCAGTTGTTCACCAACTTCACAAACCATCCCATGTTGTGTTTCAGTTCTCATTCACATTAATGCACAGAAAAAAAAAAAATGAAGAAAAGCCTGCCAACTCTAAGTTCACAAGGAAGGAAAAGTTAAACGAAGGATTCTCTTTTTTCTTTTTCCAGGATGCAGCGATGAAGAATCCGAAGCTGAAAACGAGGCCCTTCCAGAGAAAAATTTAGCCAATATTGCAACGGGTTTGGCCAATCAGACAGGAGATTTCTTTTTTGGAGATGGTGAAACAGATTTCCCTTATGATTTGGACGACAATGATAGCGTTGTTCCAGACAAACAGGTTCAGTTTCTTTTTTTCTTTTTTTTGTTTTTTCTCTTAATATATATCCATTGTTTTTTTGTTTTTTTGTCTCATGTACCGTGTCCCCTTCAGGACATTGGCAATCATGACTCTCCACAATTTCCTGTCCTTTGTAGTTGTCAATAAGTTTTGTGTTTTTGTTGTCTCTCCTAAACCCTCCTCTGCCATCCATTTATTCAAGCTCGTGTTGTTTTCCTCCGTCCTTCTTGCCTTCAACCTGTTCTGTGAGTATCACATTTTCCAAGCTCTCTTTCCTCATTATGTGCCATAGAAATTCTAACTTTTTCTGATGTCAATTTTGTTTCCATTTTCTGTGAAACTTCATTGCTCACAGGTTTGGTGGATAGTGTTCTCAGCATCCTTCTGTACAACGCTGTGGAGCTGGAAACAATTAAGGGGTCACTGGCATCAGATTTGGTAAAACTATACTGACTCCGACACCAGTTGAATTTACACTTTCTGCAAAAAGTCTTACATTATAGAATTTTTATTTGTATTAATATTTCTTTGACTGTATATTTACTATGCATAGGCTTTATGAGATTGGTAGGCCATAATCACTTAATTACATAAAGAGGAGTCGGAGTCAGAGGTGCCAAAAATAGAGGAGTTGGAGGTTTCGTGTTCCAACTTCACAGCCCTTCTTCTGTGGAACTACATTTCTGTTACTTCAAGGCTCTTCTTCAGCTGTGAAGAGATAGTCCTTCATTCACTGGCATATACGACTGATATTGCATAACAGTTCAATACACTTTTCTTTGTTTCTAACAAAATTTTCCTGTTTCTTAGTACTATGCTTAGCTTTTGGAAGGCATCTTTCTGTATCCCCAATGCACCTTCAGATTTCTGTGTCACACTTTTGGACTCCTATTGAAACACTTCCCACATACCAAAATCAAGCAAAACCAATAATTTTTATATGTTCAATTTGTAATTTGTATGTTAGGTTGTACCTTTAGCTAACAACCATGCATTCTGTTTTCTTGCAACTGACAATTAGTCCTTTCTTCTTACTTTCCTTCACTACCTTCTGAAAGAGTTCTTGTAGTTTCCCTTTTGTGTCTGCTATCAACACTGTGTCATCTGTTTATTTTATGTTCGTAAGATTATGATCACCAATAATGAATCCTGGCAGGATTTCTGCTTCTCTCAGAATTGCCTCACTGTATAGGTTGAATAAGTCTGGTGAGAAGACACATCCTTGTCTTAGCCCACTTTCTATTTTTGTATATTTACTGAATTCATTTTATATTTTGGAGTGTTGCACTTTCTGTCCTCTGCTAAAACACTTCTCAGATGTTTAAATCGTTGCATTTCTATCCAAAACGAACGGTCTTTGCAAAACAAATTCAGAAGATATTTTTGCTGGGAATCTTGTGGATGAAAAACAATATGTATTAGGATCACTGTGTACTTTCTGAAGGGGACTATTCTATTTGAAAATATATAAACATTTCAGGAAGGCCAGTTAAGGACCAAGAAAATTTAATATACCATATTTGATGGCAAAAAAAGACGCACCAACATATTAGACAATCCCACTATTTCCGCAGGGCATAGCTTTTAGTGAATTTAAGCATGTAATGTTTCAAGTACACTATTATTACTTTACAAAATATTACAAAAGCACTTTAGCTATAGCAGAAAATATGTGCCAAATAGACGATCATGGCTCTCCATAACTTCCTATATCTGATGTGGCTCTTAGCAGTTTTCCTTCTTTTACTAAGCACCCCCACTCCCATTTCAGCCATTCATTCACACAAATGAGTCGGTTAAGTGGGTCGCTGCCTTCCCCCATCTCTGTTGTTCTCAATATGCCCTGTGAAGGTTATATTTTCCAAGCCCTCCTTCCTCATCTGTCCAAGGATTTTCAGCTATCTCTTTTTGATTCTGAGTAGAAATGTTCATTCTGTTGCCATTTTCTTTAACACTTCCTTGTTGCCTACTCGCTCTGTCCATGGAATTCTCAGTATCCTTCTGTAGAACAACATTCCTGTAACCTATATTTTTTTCCCTCATCTGTGAGGAGATCATTCAAGAGGATGAATATCAAATAGCAATCCAGCACTCTTTTCTTTGTTTCTAACAATTTTTTTTAATTTCTCAGCACCTTGCTTAGTTTTGAAATGCTTCTTTCGCTAGTCCAAAGTATGTTTAGATTTCAGTGTCACATTTTCCATCCTCTGTTATATATATATATATATATATATATATATATATATATATATATATAAAAACAGAAGATGTCTGTTTGTCTGTCTGTGTCATACCTTTTCACTCAAGATCCATCCAATCGATTTTAACCAAACTTGTCACATACATTGTACAATGTAAGAGATAGGTTCTTAGCATAAAAAATCAATAATCGATAAAGCTGATCAAAAATCAATAAATTCAACCTTTTTTTTTCTCCAATTTCATTCAGACTCTGTATGTAGGTTACTTACATCATAACAAGCTCAATGATACCTCATTTTTATTTCTATGCCACTGCGTTTAGCAAAAAACGAAAAATCAATTTTAACACAAATTTTAAACTAAAAACTCCCCCAATTTTCAAACAATCTAATAAAAACTTTACTCAATTGTAGCCAACAATAAGTTGAGTGTTTAACAGTCAATTAACTTGATAATTGAGTCCACTCAAATAGTAAAAACCAGTATAAATAGCAAAAAATGGCGATTTTTACTGGTTAATTTCTTATTTTTCCTGGATCTTTGAACCAATTCTCATCAAACTTAGCAATTGCTTCATAAATGTATCCTCTTTTACATCCCTGGTAGCACATTGCCAAATTGAATTTCAAAAACTCCAAAATAATTGTGGTCTGAAATGAGTCTTCATGTTACCTGTTTTACCACTTCATGTCCTTGGCTAATTTCGACTGAATAAATACAGACTACTTCTGTTATATCAGTAACTGCATTAATTTAAAATGTTTTTTAATGAAATTACTTTAAAGTTATTGAAGAAGATAGACTCTGTTACATCTAAACCTGATGCTGTTTTTGCTCCATTCTAATTGAATGCTTTTTCTAATTGACCAGCTGGGTTTGGCTGCTAGTTACTGTATATAAAAAGCAAGCTGACAGTACAGATGAATATGAATCATAAAATTATAATGTAAATGCACCCACCTCTTCACTATTCATTTTTCTTTGGTTAATCATATAACGGACATATTTTTCTATAGCCTTGATGTTATCCCAAGTCGTTACACTAGTTTTTTCCTTTCGGTTATGTCTATTCTAAGGGGTAATCAGTTGGATGTTTAAATTATTTATTTTAAATTATTTTTTGTTCTGATAATATTTCATCCAGTAAGAACATCAGCAGAACAAAATTAAGGAAAAGTTGTTAATTTGATACTTCAAAAAAATATTAATGATAATTTGAAAATTTTAATTGGTTAAAAAAAAAATGAAAAATAAAATATTTGTGTAGAGACATGTTTTATTTGATTCGTCATGTTCTCTGTTTTTTTGTTTTTTTCCCAAACTCAGGACTGGTCTCTTCCTGCGGAAGCCTTCCAACTTCGTCACGAATTGCAATTTGGGATGGCTCCACCAGTTCCCATGACACACGACTCCCCTGCCAGTGCCAATGACAGCGATGTCAACTCCTTCAATACAATGGTAAACAACAACAACAACAACAACAAAGACTCTAGCTGCAGCAGTGGCGTGACTGGCAATGACCTCTACATTAGTGTCAAATTGCCCATCATGCCCCCTTGGGATTGTAGGGCAATGGTCAAAGACATGTTGATTTCCTATGTGGAACAGGTTTGTGTTTGTTGCTAAGTTGTTTACCCTAAGTAGGGCCAATCCTTCGGATGGAGGCTGATGGAGAGACATTCTCTCTCCAAGATCAGCTTACCTTTCACTCTCCCTTGCTTCATCTCTAATTTTCTTACTCTCCATTTCCTCCAATCCTCTTCCTTTCTCTCTCATCACCCTTCCCTTGCTCTTTCTCTCTTATCGCCTTTCCCTTGCTCTTTCTCTCTCATCGCCCTTCCCTTGCTCTTTCTCTCTCATCGCCCTTCCCTTGCTCTTTCTCTCTCATCGCCTTTCCTTGCTCTTTCTCTCTTATCGCCCTTCCTTGCTCTTTCTCTCTTATCGCCTTCCCTTGCTCTTTCTCTTCGTCGCCTTCCCTTGCACTTTCTCTCTACTCGCCCATCCCTTGCTCTTCCTTTTCATCGCTCTTCCTTGCTCTTTTTCTCTCCCATCGCCTCTTCCCTTGCTCTTTCTCTCTTATCGCCCTTCCCTTGCACTTTCTCTCTTATCGCCTTCCTTACTTTCTCTCTTATCGCCCTTCCCTTGCTCTTTCTCTCTTATCGCCCTTCCCTTGCTCTTTCTCTCTTATCGCCCTTCCCTTGCACTTTCTCTCTTATCGCCCTTCCCTTGCACTTTCTCTCTTATCACCCTTCCCTTGCTCTTTCTCTCTTATCGCCCTTCCCTTGCACTTTCTCTCTTATCGCCCTTCCCTTGCTCTTTCTCTCTTATCGCCCTTCCTTGCTCTTTTCTCTCTTATCGCCCTTCCCTTGCTCTTTCTTTCTCTCTTATCGCCCTTCCCTTGCTCTTTCTCTCTTATCGCCTTTCCCTTGCTCTTTCTCTCTCATCGCCCTTCCCTCCCGCTCGCTCTCCCATCTCCTTTCCCTCCCGCTCGCTCTCTCCTCACCTTTTCGCTTCTCTCACCTCTCTCCTCACCTTTTCACCTCTCTCCTCACCTTTTCACCTCTCTATCGTTCTTTGCTTGCCATTCCCCTCATTCTCCTCATTTTCCAGCTCTCTTCCCTTCCCAGGGAAAAGTGCTGAATGTGAAAGTGAATGCAGCAGACTTGGCTTGAATTTGAATTTGGCTTGCCAATGCCACTCTCCACACTAATTACAACTATGCTACCCGCATTTCAGTCATATAGCTTGCTTGTATTTTAAGATCTTATTGTAGCTTTAATGTAGTTTGCTCAAAAGTTTCTATACCTAAGAATTTAATTTCTCCTTTTAGGTGTCCTTTGTGCATTTAGCCTATTATTTTCTCTTCTCTTCTCTCATAGGAAGATATCCAGTCAACGGTGTCAATGTTGATTGTACTTGGGGATAATATTCGGCAAGAAATTGATTCAGAAAAACAAACCACTTGGTTTTTATCCTATGTTGGTGAGTACAAAACACATCTATACATTTTTTTTTTAAATTTTTATTGATTTGATATAAAGGAAATGTTTTAAGTCCTTACTCCTATTTCCCATGATATAGGATTTCAGAAAACATGTATAGTCAGACCAAATAAAAAAAAAATTGTGGCACTCAGGTAACAACTGCTGACATCAGGGAATGCCTCAACATGTGACCAAGACACACATTGGTACAACTTCTTTGATAATAGTATACACAAATACTGAAACAGCTGTTGCTGCAGAAAGAAATGTGTATGTGTGTTTGATCTTCACTGAGTGTCCCAGAATAATGCTCCTGCTAGACATTTAGAGATTCTGAATAAAATCTAACAAAGAATTTGCAATGTTATTGGTCCTTACCTGGCATATTAGAGTAGAAGGCACAGTAGAGTAATGGATAGCAGCTTGGATTGAGGAATCGGAGAGCCGAGTTCAAAATCCATTTGAATCCATTACATTCACTTACGTGCTAATACCCTTGGGAAAGGTATGAATCCTCTTCTCCCTCCAGCTATGGATAAATAGCAGGTTCTGTAGCCTTGGATGGAAACTGGTCTACCGCAGAAAAACATGGCAACCTACTGCGAGACAAAATCTGCCTCGTCAATCATATATCGAAAAGTTACATGATCGCCAAAGCGTGTATCATGCATGGCACATAACTGACTGACTGACGTGCTAATACCCTTGGGAAAGGTATAAATCATCTTCTTCTCCCCTCAGCTATGGGTAAATAGCTGGACAGACCAGGTTCTATATCCTTGGATAGCAACTGGTCTACCGCAGAAAGAAATGGCAACCTACTGCGGGAAAAAAAAACTGCTTCGTTAGTTATGTATCGAAAGATACATGATCACCTAAGCATGTATCACGCATGGCACATAACTGACTGATCGGACATATTCAGTTAATTTCCAAATGACATAATGTATCTTCCTTGTGCCTTTTCTATAAATACTTTCATGGTAATTGTTCTGATGAACTTTCCGCTATGATACCAGGACTTTATAAATTTAAATACTAAATTGGCAACAAGGTCTCATCACTTTACAGTTAAAATGGCTAGATGTAACCGTAAGTTCTATGCTAACAGCTTCTTCTATTGCACTTTTTGCTTGCGGAACTCTTGTATATCCTAAATATGTTTACATTTTATTTCTTGTTATTCTAGAATTACTTGGCCAGTTTCAACTGTGGTCAGTGATGGCCGAAGTGATAAAGCGTAGCGATATCCCCGAAGTGGCCATGCTCAACCAGCAATCCTCGAACATCTTGACCATGTGTAACCGGTGTAATAAAACTCTGACCAACTGTAGTTGGTTTTGTAACAAGTGCCGTGAGATCGTCGGCATCTGTAGTATTTGGTAAGTATTTCCTTGTTTACTGTAAATTTGTTAGGTGCGTGGGTGAGGTAATGTATTAAGCGGATTAAAATGAGAAATTGGAGAGTCAGGTTTGAATTCAAATACCAGTCAAGTTAGTTAAATACCAATTGGAGAAAGCTATGAATCCACCCCCCAGCTACAGGTTAAATAGTAGAGTTTTATCTGGAAAAATCATTTTTCATCTCCTCAAAAAATTGTTAATTCAATATTCGAAAAAAAAAAACAAAATTATGATCCAAGAAATATGTTTCAGCTTTAAATAACCCACCAAGGGTTGATAAACTGTAAAAAAGTAGAAATCATTTTTACAGTCCAGAATATGTTTTGGCTTTAAATAACTCACAAATGGGTTGATAAGCCATAAAACCAAATCAATCAACAAGCTTGTAAAGCCACATTTACTGAAGCTGTGTACATGAAAAACAAATACTCCTTTTCAAAACTGCATCCTGGGTAAGACAATAAACTACATCCGTGTCCTGGGTAAGATGATAAACTGCATCCAGCAGCAAGGCCTCTGATCAGGAGGTTTTGAGGAGCATGGAACCACCTCTTAATAGCTGGTGTTCCTAGGTCCACTCTGACCCGGGGTGGTAGCACCTGTTAGGATCCCAGCTATGGGCAAATAGTTAACACCGAAACTTGTGTAAAAATAGGTTTTTTAATACCAGAAATACTTTGTAATAAAAAAACTTATTACCAGCAATAATTTTTGAAGGAAAAATTATTATCAGCAATACTTTAAAAAGAAAAATTACCAGCAATGCAAACAGCTATACATTCTTTGGAAAAAATATGACCAGCTATAGATTTCTTCAAGGAAAAATATTCCCAGAAATAGATTTTTGAAGAAAAACATTACCAGCAATAAAAATTGTGTCGGAATTAAATAACCCATTGAGGTTGATATGCTGTAAAACAAAACCAACCAAACAAATCGTTTTCAAAACTACGTCCTGTTAGGGTCCCAGCTTTGGGCAAATAGTTAACTATTACCAGCAATACTTTTTTGAAAAAAATTATTACCAGCAATACAATTTTGAAGAAAATATATTACCAAAAACAGATTTTTGACAAAACAAAATATTACCAGCAATAAAAAATATTATCAGTATTAAATAACCCATTGAGTTTGATATGCCGTAAAACAAAATAAGCCAAACCAATCTAAACCAAAGAATACATATTCTATTCATACGAATCTATCCTAAAAAAGGTTGTCGGCTTTAAATAACCCATTGAGATTGATATGCCGTAAAACAAAATAAGCCAAACCAATCTAAACCAAAGAATACATATTCTATTCATACGAATCTATCCTAAAAATGTTGTCGGCACGGATATACTGGCTCTGTGTGAGACAAACCTTGTCTCGTCTATTCCCTCCTCTGATCTCTCGATCCCTGGCTACCTTCCTCTCCTCAGGAAAGACTTTAACCCACATGCACGGCCTTGGTGTCTATGTCAAGGACCATCTCCCCTGGCCAGAGAGCTGTCTCCATGAATCGCCAGACCTGTCGCATATGTGTCTCCGACTATCTCCTCAATGCCGTAAGCTATCTCTTCTTCCTCTGTCGCCTCCATCCTCTCAAGACTGTGGGATACTTGATAGCATATCTGACAGCATAGACAAGGCCCTCTCTCCAACCCGCTTTGCTCATATATTCGTGTTTGGTGACTTTAATGCCCATCACACCAAGTGGCTCGAGAATGCTACTACTGACCGGCTGGCATTCAAACATTTAACTTCTCAATTTTCTCAATCCCTCACGCAGATAGTCGATTGGATATAACGCTGCTTTGCCCCTCGACCTGGCAGGTAAGGCCTCTTCTCGACCTGTGTTTTACCTCCATCCTCAAATCTTGTAGCGCCACACAGCTCTGCCCGCTGGCAACTCCGATCACGCTGTGGTATCTGTCAACGTTTCCTTCAACTCCACGCCCTGCAAAAACCTCCCATCACAAGAACCTCGTTCTACTATCAACGAAAGCGGATTGGGACTCGTTCCGTGACTTCCTCCGCGATGTTCCCTGGGATGTTGTCTTTACACTCCCTGTCCAAGAATGTGCTTCTTGAGGTCTCATCCTGGGTTAAAGCTGGAATCGAGGCTTTCATCCCTCAAGGAAATTTAAGGTCAAGTCGCACTCTCCCCTTGGTTCTCCGCTGCTTGCTCATCTGCCATCGCCCATAGGAATCACTTCTTTCACCGATTCCGAGCTTTATATGTCGGACTGCAATAGACGTCTCTTTGCCTCTGCCCGTAATCCAGTGTAAGCGTGTCCTCAACGGCTAAGTCAATATATGCTGCTCGAATGAAGGAACGATTGCATCTCACAAATTTGGCTCAAAGATTATTGGCAAGTCTGCAAGAGTGTCCTGAATAATCGAAAACCCTCCATACCTCCTTTATTCAACCAGTTCGAGGTCTTGACCTCCCCACCGACAAGGCTGAATGCTTTGCTCGAAATTCTCATTTAATTCAACGCCGACTCCACCGTGTACCCATACCAGACTTCCTCTTAGAACTGAGGCCTTACTGAGCGGCTTACACATAACCCCGCCATTGGTACTGGGCATTATCTCGATTTTAGACCCCCACAAGGCTCGGTGGGTGGAGATGGCATACCAGCCATTGTCCTGAAGAAATGCGCGCCTGAGCTAGCACCCGCCTCCCTCTAAACTGTATAATTACTGCCTCAAGGAATCATGTTTTCCTGACTGCTGGAAGTCCTCATCCATTGTTCCTGTGTTTAAGAACTCTGGAGACCCCTCTGACCCCACTAATTACTGTCCCCTATTAGTCTCCTACCCTCTTCAGCAAAGTCTTCAAGCCCTAATCAATGCCAAGTGGTTAATCACCTTACATCCCATAATCTGCTCTCAGACAAGCAATATGGTTTCCACTACGCCCGATCTACAGCTGATGTGCTTACGGCCATCACTGAAACCGTCTACCAAGCCCTTCAAAATAACGGGGAATTTAACTATATTGTCAACATGGAAAGAAAAAAAAAATAATAATAATAATCCCTTACTATAAAGGTAATTTACATTAACCAGAAATAAAGGCTTAGACAGAAGCGTCTATCTTTTTAAATTTGGATTTTTCAATGTAACTATAACAACAAAAACATTTCGATTTCAGTTTTGCCTTGAAAAAGTCGGAAGACGAAATGTGTCGGCAAAATCTAAAAATTTTTCCAGTTGTCATTTTATACCAATCTGTCTTGTCCACAAAATTGATCTGGGAATTTAACTACATTAAAAACAATTCAACATATTTATACTTTTATTACTCCTTGTGGAGTTCTGGGGGGTTAGAGTAAGAAGCAAAATTGCTAAAAATGTTTTCATTTAATCAAAAAAGTGACATGTTTCCTCATTTTTACATACAAGAAGACACCAGCATTTGTTTGCTCTTTCCTTCCCTTGACTATCATATTTATTTGTCTAATTGATGTATAAAGGTATTATTTTGTCATTTATATATAATGTTTCTGAAGGTGAGTTATTTTGTCTATCAAGTACATCGATGATTGCCAGTAGCTTCCATGAAATTAATCAGGCATGGATGATAGTAGCCACTAATGGTCATCATCGTTTTCTTCCATGTCACTTGTGTGGTTATCATCTTCGACCACTTCACTGTCAGTATCCACTTGAGTAAAGCCTTCAAAATCATCATCAGAGTCCTAATCAAAGAAAAATGCCTGAATAAAGGCTTTGTTGGATGTTGATGCGGCCATTTTTGTTTTAAAAAAAAAAAAAAATTAATGTGGGCTTAATTGGTGTTACACCTCATGTTGAGTCTAGAAGAATTCAAAATGGTGTTGGAAAATGGAAGTTTATCCTTGTTCCAAAGCAGTAGTAGACGATTTCCAGCTTAAAATATTGGAAATAACAGTTGACAAGTGTTTATTTATAGCAACCACCTGAAAGTGGCATCATGCGTCTAGAGCAGCAAAGGGAGAGAGTTTTATGGCGACAATTTTCACCTCCAGCCTGGTGAAGATTAAGAATATTAATCCAAAGTTATCACCAATCCTAACAAAACTATTTGACTGCTGCTTGAAGGAAAAAGTCTCAAATGTATGCCTGGTTTTCAAGAATGTGGGTGGGTGCTCATCCCCCATCACAGTATAAACCCATCAGTCTACTCAGTGTTATTAGCAAACGCTTTGAAGCTATAATCAATAAAAAGGTTGTTGATTATCTCAATAAGTACAACTTCTTGAGTGACAAGCAGTATGGATTTCAATATGCCTGGTCCACTGCTGATTACTCACAGATTTAGTGAGGCACTTGACAGCAAATGCATCTCAATGATGGTTGTATTACATATTTCAAAAGCCTTTGAGAAGATGTGGCATAAGGAGTTAAAGCTCTTTAGCTATGGAGTCAATGGAAATGTCTTCTCGGTTTTCTAACAGATAGGCCTGTGAAGGTAGTTGTTTACGACCAGTCGTCCGAGTCCCTGGTGATCAATGCAGGCATGCCCCAAGGTTCGCTTCCCGGTCCAACCTTCTTCCTCTTCTATATAAATGATCTGCCTGAGAGTATCCTCCGATCATTTGTGCATATCTATGTTGATGATACAATGGCATAAGGGGTGCAACTCTAAAGCACTCGATGACCTGAGCTTGGCAACGGATCTCTCCTCTGACCTAGCAGAGCAGTTGTGGTGAGGAATGGCTGGTCACATTCAATGCCTCAAAAAAACAAACTAGTGACCTTTCACCATCACTGATCGGACCAAGAACTTTAGAGAGGTCATAGGCCTTGAGCACCAATTGGGACCGTCCTGGGTATGGCAATAAACTACATCCGCGTCCTGGGTATGACGATCAACTACATCCAACAGCAAGGCCTCAGATAATGTTTTTGAAAAAATAACGTTGCCAGCTATACGTTTTTGAAAAAAAAATGTTGCCAGCTATACGTTTTTGAATTACTTGAGTAAGAATAAACAAGCTGTGGTTTAAGGACGTTATCCTCAAATTATGTTTACAAAGTATATATATTTAATATATATGTGCAAACTGGATTTGGTATTAAATAACCCATAGCGGTTGATATGCCATAAAACCCCAAACAAATAACCAAACAATTGGGACAAATCACGAGTGGAGCTCTTAGATACGATCCATCGCTAAAGATGCATTTGGAAGGGTTGGTACCCTGTACTGCTCCAGCACGTCCCTGACACCTCATGCTATCCTCTATCTTTACAAGAGCCAGATCAGGCTAAAAATGGAGTACTGCTGTCATGTAGACACATAGAAGATGCACTTCTAAAAAAAAAAAAAAGTCATTCTCATACAACAACACATTTACCATGCGCCCCTCCCATACTGGCGTCACGTATTGTTTACATTAATCACTCGTCTGATTTTGTTTGGATGGCAATGACATACTAGTCAAGAGCAGAAAGGCTCCCACCGCTGCTAGTAAACAGAGCATGTTTGATTGTGGCTTGCCTCCAGGAAGGTTTATATCCTTGGAAATACTTGTAACAGCTAAGTACTGAGATTACATCAGATAAAAGGCTGAATTAGCTAACATTATAGTGTAATGACTCAACATACAAATCCACATCCCTATTAGTGAAGCCAATTAGGTGACCGTCCAAGCTTAATTGACCCCATGTTGCCTTACATTCATCTTGGAAGACGCACACATATTTTTCAGGGAAAAAGTGGGTCTTGTAAGCCAGAAAATATGATGTGTCTATATATATATATATATATATATATATATATATATATATTTTCATTTATTAAAGACATTTTTATGTTTAACGTCTTATTTTAAAGATACAAGTATTTAAGTAAATGCTCTGTTTATAATAAACAGTATCAAATAACATTTGCCGCCTGAATGTCCGGAGAAATTTTCATAGAAAATATTTTTTTTTTACGCTGACGATGTTTTGATTTCGGGTCACAAAGGATTGTTTGGTCAAGGCACGTCAGCGTAAATGACGGTTCCAGAGTAGGATGCAGGTTCGAATTCTGTCAAAGGACTAATATTTTCTATGAAAATTCTCGGACATTCAGGCCGGTAAATGTTATTTAATACTGTTTATTATAAACAGAGCATTTACTTAAATACTTGTATCTATAAAAAGAATGTTAAACATAAAAATGTCTTTAATAAATAAAAATTGTCGGACTTTGTCCATTTCTTATATATATATATATATATATATATATATAAAAACTTCTAAAGAAGTGATGGGTTTTTATCCATTAATTTGACAGATTTTACCCATATTTGAGTAGAAGGGAATATTCAGGCCAGTAGATGGAAATAGTTAAATAAATTAATAAATAAACGGAATGCCTATTCAGATATGGGTATCCACTAAAAATAACGTTTAAGTAATAAAATATGAAGGATAGATAGGCACAGGACCGTAGAATTACTTACTTGAGCCTGGGTGTTGCTTTACATTCATCGTGGAAGACACACACGTATTTTTCAGCCTAATTTTTAGGAACAAAAGTGCGTCTTGTAAGCTGGAAAATATGGTATATCAAAAGTTTACAGTTTTTTGTATATCTGAAAAATTAAGAAAAACAAATGATTTTTTCACTCCCTCCTCCCCTGGGTTTAATTTGTTTATTCATATTGCATTGTTATTTTTCCGCTCCCCCCAGAACGAATTATATATTTAATAATTTTTTTTCTTTTTCTCTCAGCTTCCAGCCTGTAAAACGCTTGTATGTCTGGTGCCAGGGTTGCTCCCATGGCGGTCACCTGCAGCACATAATGGACTGGTTCAAAAACAACAAGCAGTGTCCGCGAGGCTGCGGGCATTATTGTGAATATTCTTGACCATGAACTTGACCGTCATCCCCCCTCACCCAACTTTTCCCCCTACAAATTTGTATGTTTACCTAGGAAAAAAAAAAAACAAAAAAAAAACTGTTTTTTAAAACGTTTCTATAATTAAAACAAAAAGTTATAAAAAAAAGTTTTTCATTTTTATTTTATTTTATTTCTAAAATTTTTGTATTTTTTTTTTTTCTTACCCTATTTTGCTTGATTCATTTATTTTACACACACGCATACATATATTGACTAGATTTAGTGAAAATTTCAGAAATATTGGACTTTATTTTTGGAGATATTGAAGTTATAATTTTTGTTCCTTAAGTGGATGCTACTATGTGTGTGCGTGTTTATATATATATATATATATATATATATATATATATATATAGATGCACGTTTCATTAAATAATATAGACAAGTTTTGTCTATTTATTTTAAGTTTCTTTTATATTGTCTGATAAGCTTAATAACATTATCATTGAAAGATGAAAGGAAATCACCATATTGATACATGTTTTAATCCTATCTAAGCTTTCAGCTTACATAAGCCATTATCAAAGATGACAATTACATTTCAATATATCAAACAATACACGGACAAAACAATGATGATAGCCTGTTTTTGTTGCATGAAAAATTTCAAAGCAATGACAAACCTATCTCACGTGGTCTTGTTTGACATCACGAGCTGCGATGCGATTTTTGCTTCCGCATCTCGTATACATGAGTTAGTCGTTGCTTTCTCATAATTCAGATGACTTTCCTGAAAGGCGAAAAATTTCTAGCAGAAAAAATAAACTCTGTTGAAAAGCTATAAACAGTTTATTAAATAATGAGAAAATATAAAAGTTGCAAATTATACAGTAAATTTTTTTCTCCCTTGAGACATTGAGAGATATCTAATAGTTAAAATGCAGTTGTTTTAACAAATTTGCTGCAGTCAGAATTTTGACGAATCCGGATGGCTGTACGGTCCAGTGATGTTGTCACAAATTTCCAGGAACTGGTTCCATAAATGCAGGTAATCTTTAGGAATGTCTTCTGCTTATTTTCTTTTCAATCTGAAAATGGAAACAAAAGACTTTATAGTATCAAAAAGAATAAAACCCCTTTGATAATAAACACATTTTCTATTAAATTATTTCCAGATCTAAATTCCTTATCATATTTCTGTTCTTTTTGACTCTAGTGTCATCAGGTGTGTTAGAGTTTCTTAGCCACATTTAAACGGAATCACTGCAGTCCCAAAGATCTAGTAGAAGACCTATTGGCAAGATTTGCCACATTTTTAACTTAAAGACAATTTCTTTTGTCAAAATAAATTATGTTCATCACAGAAAAGCATCTTTTACCATCCACAAAACTTACAGCAATGTTATTAGCTATTTAATCATTATATATCGGCTATTAATATTTAAGATTATTTTGGGATAATCCGACAACTGTTTTTTTTTTAAATTTCTTTCAAAATTTAAGACCGAGTATTTTTTTTCTCTCTCTCTCTCTTATATATATATATATATATATATATATATATATATAAATAAATATACCACCACTATATATATATATATATAATATATAAATATACCACTATATATATATATATATATATATATATAAATAAATATAATACCACTACTATATATATATATATATATATAAATAAATAAATATACTATATATATATATATATATATATAAATAAATATACCACCACTATATATATATATATATATATATATAAATAAATATATATATAACTATATAAATATATAAATAAATATATATATATATATATATAAATAAATAAATATAATATACTATATATATATATATATATATATATATATATAAATAAATAAATATACCAACCACTATATATATATATATATATATAAATAAATATATATATATATATATATATATATAAATAAATATAATTAATTATATATATATATATATATATATATATATAAATAAATAAATATACTATAATATATATATATACATATATATATATATAAATAAATATACCATACTATATATATATATATATATATATATATATATAAATAAATATACCAATTACTATATATATATATATATATATATATATATATATATAAATAAATATACTCACCACTATATATATACATATATATATATATAAATAAATATACCACCACTATATATATATATATATATATATATATATATATATAAATAAAATATACCACTATATATATATATATATATATATATATATATATAAATAAATATACCACCACTATATATATACATATATATATATATAAATAAATATACCACAACTATATATATATACATATATATATAAATAAATATACCACCACTATATATATATATATATATATATATATATATAAATAAATATACCAATATATATATATATATATATATATATATATATAAATAAATATACTCAACTATATATATATATATATATATATATATATATATATTAATGTCCTCCTTCTTGAATTATCCCTAGCAATTATATATAACATCATCCACAGACGTCTGTGTTCTTGGTTCTAAGAACTGAGCTGCTTGACCCTCATACGCCGAAAATGACGGGAGACTTCACTATACAATGGCGGTATCCCAAATTTCCAAGAACCGGTTCTATAAAAGCAGGTAATCTTTATGAAATTTTTCTGCTTATTTTCTTTAGAATTTTTGTTCATCATATGTTCAGAAGTATGATGCTTTTTTTGACACGAGTGACATCAGTTGTGTTATGCTTTCTTTGCCACATTCGGATTGAATCGTTGCAGTCCCAAAGATCCAATGGAAGACTGTGAAATTCATGACTAGATTATCTGCTACATTCTTAACTTCAAAACTGTAAAGGTGCATGTATCTATTAGAGTTTCACGATGCGCGAGTGTAGCATAACTAACAATTTACCAAGACCATCAGCTATTAATATATAACATTATTTTTGGATAACCAAACAATCTAAGCTTTTATAATTTTAAGAATTGGTTCATATGAGCAAGTAGGAAGCCACCACTGGTATGGTTTTGTTTGGTTTATTTTGTTTAACGGCATATCAACCTCAATGGGTTATTTAATGCTGATTTGTATGAATAGAATATGTATACTTTGGTTTAAATTGGTTTGGTTTATTTTGTTTTACGGCATATCAACCTCAATGGGGTTATTTAATGCCGACAACATTTTTTATTGCTGGTAATATTTTGTTTTGTCAAAAATCTGTTTTTGATAATTTTCCTTCAAAATTGTATTGCTGGTAATAATTTTTTTCAAAAAAGTATTGCTGGTAATTGTTAACTATTTGCCCATAGCTGGGACCCTAAAATGTGCTACCACCCAGAGTCAGGGTGGACCTGGGAACACCAGCAATTAAGAGGTGGTTCCACGCTCCTCAAACCCTCCTGATCAGAGGCCTTGCTGTTGGATGTAGTTTATCGTCTTACCCAGGACGACCACTATTAGTGTTGCATGTGATCCATGCTTCTAAAATACTGAAGACCAGACATTTTGGTAAGCTTTCTGTATAAGTCTGGTGAATAGCAGACGTTTTCCAATTCAGTCTGTCATGACTTCCTCAGGGTTGTAGGCTTAGGCAGGGAACTTCAGCTATACAGGGTTTTACTGAATCTTGGTTTAGTTTAGGTTCAAATCTTCCCGATGTTTTCCTCATAATTTCCACTCAAACAGCTTCTTCCCACAAACCACTGCCCTATGGAACAGACTCCTAACAGGAGATATTTCCCTGATCATGACAATCTTAACTTGTTGAAGTCCAGAGTTAACTGTGACCTTCCCCTTCTATCCAAATAAACTACCCGTTAATGTAACCTTCTACCTAAAGAGGCCCCCAGCCTTGTAAAGGGAATGTACCTTAATTTACCTTAATGTAAAAAAAAAAAAAAGAAAAAATTATCAGTCCAATATTTCCACTCCCTTATATATTTCTCCATTTAATATAAAAACTCTGCCAGTAGGGATTACTAACTCTCCCAATGCCTGAAGTCACCAAACAATATTTCACACACTAATATGACTCGGTCAGAGCCTGTGCCCTGTTACACTTACACTATAAATTGAAACCCTCACTGAAATCTCAAAACACTTATAACATGTAATAGAAAAAAAAAAAAAATCTGTGTGGCAATTCTAAAAGAATTGGGAATCCTACCAGGATTTAGCATTGGTGGCCACAATCTTAACATAAGACATGCAGATGACACAGTACTGATAACAGCCACAGAAAAGAAATTACAAAACCTACTTTTACAGAAGGTAGCAAAGGAGAGCAAGAAGAAGGGACTAAGCACAAACTACAAGACAGAATTCATGGTCATCAGTAAAAGGATGAGCCCGAAATGCGATTTTCAGGTCGGGGACACTAAAAACAAGCAGGAGTTGAAAATTAAATACCTAAGAAGCATTCTGACAGAGGATGGTAAGTGTGACACTGAGATCCGAAGACATATTGGGACTGCCAAAGAGATATTCCAAAAGCTAGGCAGAGTATTACAAGACAGGAGGATTTCTTTGGCACAGTGGATAAAGGTGTTAGTTAGATCCAGTGTGAGTTCAATGCCCAGTTAAGGCCTTGGAGAACTTACAGAGGGGAATTAACAGGGGATAACTGATAACTGACATCCATTAAACATGGCACGTGTAACAAGAACAGTCTACCCCAGTGAGCGAAATAAGGGGTTCAGTTCGACATTCCAACCAACCTGAAGAAGGACGGAGCGTATGTGGGGAAAATTGTGAAAACGGTTTACCTCGGAAACGCCCACGAATCTGTGCAACATGCAAACTCTGGTTGCTCAATGGTAAAAGAACCAAAATGGCGGCGCCCATGTTTTATGCCAGGCAGTCTTGGACAGTTAGCGCAAAATCTCGTTGTCTCGTCATTCGCATGCAAATTATGGTCAGTCCTTGGCTGTATAAAGCAAGCACTTTTTTTTTTTTTTTTTTTTTTTTTGCTCATGAGAAGGTTGGACGTGTGACAATATTTTGTCGTTTTCTAATTTGATGGAATTTTACGATGAGCTGTCGTTTGAACTGCGATTTGGCTACAAGTGTTGCAGTCGAGAAATAGAAGAGATCTATTGCAGTTGCTACTATCAGTTGACAGTCTCTTCTTTACTACAACAGCATACAATGGCTGAAACGTTGTAATATGGCAACAAAGATGAGGACAATAGTCTGAATGATGTAAATAGTATCACTACTTTGGCCACCCAAGATGTTTCAACCAACTTCACCGAAGACTTTCTTGGATCAAAATTTAAAAATGGCATGTGCAGAAAAGATTAAGTGGCAGAGTGATAACCTGAGCAATGAAAGAGAAGGGGGATATAAATATGTCATCTAATAAAAAATCCAGATAATATTACTACAAGTGTAAATAAAGCAATAAAAATGAAGATGAAAGAAATACTAGTCAAAAATGAATAATGGCTGACAATGCTTCATCTAATAAAAAATCTAGATAATATTACTACAAGTGTAAATAAAACAAGTGAAATGAAGATGAAAGAAATACTAGTCAAAAATGAATAATGGCTGACAATGCTTCATCTAATAAAAAATCCAGATAATATTACTACAAGTGTAAATAAAGCAATAAAAATGAAGATGAAAGAAATACTAGTCAAAAATGAATAATGGCTGACAATGCTTCATCTAATAAAAAATCCAGATAATATTACTACAAGTGTAAATAAAGCAATAAAAATGAAGATGAAAGAAATACTAGTCAAAAATGAATAATGGCTGACAATGCTTCATCTAATAAAAAATCCAGATAATATTACTAAAAGTGTAAATAAACTCAGAGAGCCGAGTTCAAATTCCATTTGAATCCATTACATTCACTTACGTTCAAATACCCTTGGGAAAGGTATGAATCCTCATCTCCACAAGCTATGGGCAAATATCAGGACAGACTGGGTTCTATAGCCTTGGATGGCAACTGGTCTAACGCAGAAAGAAGTGGCAACTAATTGCAGGAAAAAAATCTGCCTCGTCAGTCATGTATTGAAAGATACATGATTTGCTTAAGCATGTATCATGCATGGCACATGACTGACTGATGTTCTAATACCCTTGGGAAAGGTATGAATCCTTTTCTCCCTCAGCTATGGGCAAATATCAGGACAGACTGGGTTCTATAGCCTTGAATGGAAAATGGTCTACCACAGAAAGAAATGGCAACTGACTGCGGGAAAAAACAGCCTCGTCAGTCATGTATCGAAAGATACATGGTCACCTAAGTGTGTATCACACATGGCACATAACTGACTGAAATCAAGCAAATAAAATGAAGATGAAAGAAATACTAGTCAAAAATTAATAATAAATAATGGCCAATACTGCTTCACTGAATTAGTAAAAAAACCTAGTCAAATTTAGTTTCACCAGTCTAATCAGCATCATCTCTTACAAACTGAAAATGAAAGAAATCTTAGTCTAAAATTAATAATGGCTGACAATGCTTCATCTAATAAAAGTTCAAGATAATATTACTACGAGTGTAAATAAAGCAAGTGAAATATATGAATCAAAAATTGATATCTGACAAAATTTTATCTCATGTGTATTTAAGATAATAATACTAACAATAATAATGTACATTGTTTTCCTGAAGGTTCTTTTTCACATCTGATAAGCACAAAGATTCTTTTTATTCTTCCAAAAATTGCCAATACACTTACACTTCGACTTCAGCCAAACCTGAATGCCTACCCACTCTGTTTTTGTCCAAGAAACACAGCTCAGATTTCAGGAATGGCAACTGCATAGTCTTCATCTGTTTCAATTCCAATATCTTCCTGCAGAGGAAAAACAAAACATACGTTTAAACAATTTTTGTTTGGTTTTCTTTGACAATTTTCTGACGGAATATTATTGCTTAGTTTTCTTTGAAGATTTTCTGACAGAATATTATTCCTTGGTTGTCTTTGACCATTTTCTGACAGAATATTATTGCTTGGTTTTCTCTGACCATTTAAATTATTTATTAAATAAACAATCTAATCAATAAATAGTGTAAATAAACACTCTAATAAATAAATAGTGGAAATAAACAATCTAATAAATAGTATAAATAAAAATTCTAATAAATAAATAGTGTAAATAAACAATTTAATAAATAAATATTGGAAATAAACAATTTAATGAATAAACACTTAATAGTGTAAATAAACACTTCCCACACACTATGATCATCTCCACAGGCCGATGTTATCGAGTCACCTGCTTGACAACTTGACGTTGGTGAGATTGTATTGGCAGTTAGTTATACACAGAGTCCATAAAAATATGGAAGAAAATATAGAAAAAATATCTGATACATACAAAAAGTTGTTTTTTGGTTTTCGGATAGCCTTCCAAAATTGCTCCAAGAATGTCATTAGTCTGAGAAAAAAAAAAAAAAATTTATATATATACATATATAAGATCATTGCGAACGTTTGTGCCTGATTAGAAAATTGAAAGAAAAAAAAAAAAAATTATATACAAAAAAACATTTATTCATCAAGTACATAGTCTCCATTGTTTTAATGAACTGTCTCACAATGTTCTGCAAGATTCTTGATGCAATTTTCGGTGACACCTTGTGTTTTTTGTTGGAAGGAGGTTGTGAGGTAATTTTTGACTGTCTTCACAGAGTCAGATTTTTGTCATTTAAATTATTCTATAGAGACTAGAACAAATAAAAATCCAAAGGTGCCAAGACAGGAGAATATGGTGGGTGCTGGAGGGTTTTCCATTTAAAGTCTTTAAGTTTTTGCAAGATTTGTTTTGTAACATGCAGTCTTGCACTGTCATGGTGGAAAGTGAAACCTTTTCAATTTGCCAATATTGGTCTGTTTTCTTGAGTCCAAGTCTCTTTAAATGGTGAAAGGCAGGTGAAATATCAACTTTCAATCTCTTCAGTATCTGTCTATATTTCTGAGATAAGGTATTATGTACACTATTTACATTATTCAGACTATTGTCCTCATCTTTGTCGCCATATTTATTCCAATGTTTCGGCCCTTCAGTATCTGTCTATATTTCTGAGATGAGGTATTATGTACATTATTTATATTATTTGGACTATTGTCCTCATCTTTGTTGCCATATTTATCAAAATGTTTCGGCCTTCTTCTTTGGTTGGAATGTTGAACTGAACCCTTTATTTCGCTTGCTGGGGTAGATTGTCCTAGTTCCGAGTGCCATGTCTAATGGATGTCAGTTATCTCCTGTTAATTCCCCTCTCCAAGTCCTTCACTGCCTTAACTAGGTATTGAACTGTCACTGGATCTAACTAACACCTTTATCCACTGTGCCATGTGTTCTTGAGGGCATCTGTGTATGAATTTCTGGGTATTATAAACCTAATGTCTTCAGCAACCATTTTTTTTTAAACAATACTCATATTGCAATTTTTGCTGTTATCATTGTTTTTAGCAGAGCTCATATTGCCATTTTCATTGTTATTATTGCTTTTTTCTGGCACTCCTTATTACTGGTTCCCATATTGTATTCATTTCTATGCTTGGTCGGCTCAGAAGATTTTTGTTTTTTTCAAATTCTTAGCAATCTCTTTCATGGAAATCTTCAGCTTATTTACCACAATATCAATGAGAGTGTCTCCATCAATGTTAAAACATCGCCAAGAGTGTGGTTGATTGTTTAGGCTAAAAATCGCCTTGATAAAATTTGCCTAACTGTACAAAGAACTGGAGCACAATCCAAATAGACCTCCTGAATTTTTTTTTGTCACAGTTTCCGATGTTTACACCTTTCCAAAGTTCATAAGACATAAAGTGAAAGTGCAATTTTCCATCCTCTATCCTTAAGGCATTAATTTGTGGACAAAATGTTAACATTTAATATCCCCAGGCTTATAGGCAAACATTGGCCAGTCATATATTTTCAGGCCTACAGGCAAACATCGGCTGGTGATATATTCTAAGGCCTATAGGTAAATGTCAGCCAACCCTATGTTCAATTCTAGCGGTAAACATTGGACAGGCCCATTTGTCGGCCATATACTGAAGCCTATTGGTAAATATCAGTCAGCCGTGTGCTGAAACCTATATGAAAATATCAGTCGGCCGTGTGCTGAAACCTATACGTAAATATCAGTCGGCCGTGTGCTGAAACCTATACGTAAATGTCAGTAGGTTATGTACTGAAATCTATATGTCGGTCAGTTGTATACTGAAGCTTATATATAAATATTGGTCGGTCCTGTACTGTAGCTTATAGGCAAATTCTAGTTGGCTGTATACTCGAGTCTATTGATAAGTCAGAGTGATTACTTACCATCCGTTTTCTTTTACGCCATTCTTTGACATACTTCCGTCTTTCTTCACAAACCTATTAACAAAACAGAAGAAGAGAGATTAAAGCAGAAACCTTAATCTGGATAAAGGAGAAAACTGAATTTTTCTACATTCAGTTCATTTTATAAGCTGATATTGGGCACTAGAATGCTTCCTCAGTGATGTCTATCTGGAGATCGTAGAAACTCTTGGGCCTACATAACATCAGACTTTCTCTCCCAGCCAAGATCAGTCATTTCTCGACTAGCATTCTGGGATAACTTCTGTGTGATTGCAAGAATTGTAAACCATATTTGCATATGCAAATGTGATTCTTTTATTCAGTTCCATGTGGGAATTTTGACCAATCAGAATTTATTTAACATTTTTCTTCAGACTATTGGTGTCTTTTGCCAATCAAAAGGGGAGGATTGTGTTTTGCCCTTAACCTATGAGATAAAAACTGGAGCCAACCAAAATATGGTTCTACAGAAGAAAAGATAAACTGCATTATTAATATTACATCTTTTACTGCTGCATTCTTTTTTAAGGCTTCTCAGTTGCAGTAACCTTATTGTTAATTTCACTTAAATGTGTTTTCTGTTGCCATAGCAGGATATGACAACACAACTATGAAATACAAACAAATTCAAATTCTGGGATCAGAGTCACTTTCAGTGGCAGGATAAACTTTTTGTACAATAAATGAAGCCTCATACAGAGTGATAAAGGTTAAAGAATGGAGAATTGAAAAAGCAAAGATGCATTCTAAAACTAAGCGATGTATAAGGAAACAGGAAAATTTCTTTACGAGATTAAAAAAAAAAAGTCAAATTGTTATGTAATATGAATCACCTTATATGATGGTGAAGGTTGGACAATTTCCCCACATATGAAGAAAAAACAGGAGGCAACCAAAAAATGGTTCTGCAGAAGAATGCCAAGAATACCATGGACAGAGCATGGAAGCAATGAGGTTTGAAGCAAAAAGGAAACAAAGAAAACGAGAATTGTACTTAGAATGAAAGTTTTGAATCCATAATGAGGAAATACCAAATGAAAAATAAAATCTCATGTATTTATATTTCCTGAAATTCTTTTTTTTTAATTTATAGCTATTAACCTTTAGCAAACTGTATTATTAATATTACATGCCTTTCTACTGTATTATATTTGAAGGCTTCTCAATTGCAGTAACCTTATTGTTAATTTCACTCAAAGGTGTTTTCTGTTGCCATAGCAGGATATGACAACACAACTATGAAATTCAAACAAATTCAAATTCAGGGATCAGAGTCCCTTTCAGTGGCAGGACAAACTTTTTTTTATAGCAAATGGAGCCACATACAGCATGATAAAGGTTAAATGTTATTCAAAATACTCATTCAGAATTGCGGTTACCATTTTTAGCTAATGAGAAACATAGTTTCCATGTGGCTAAATTATATCTATTAAAACTTTTATAAGACAGTGAAGGCTGGATAATCTCCCCAGAAGGAAAAAACAAGAGGCTACCAAAGTCTCATGTATTTATAATATGTTCCTGATATTTTTTAATTTAATGCTGTTAACCTTTAAACACTATGCATTATTAATATTATACCCCTTTCCATTGTATTATTTTTGAAGGCTTCTCAATTACAATAAACTTATTGTTAATTTCACTCAAAGGTGTTTTCTGTTGCCATAGCAGGATATGACAACACAACTATGAAATTCAAATAAATTCAAATTCTGGGATCAGAGTCACCTTCAGTGACAGGATTAACATTTCGTACAACAAATGGGGTCATATACAGAGTGATAAAGGTTAAATGTTATTCAAAGTACTCATTCAGAATGGCGATTACCATTTTTAGCTAATGAGAAACATAGTTTCCATTTGTCTCCATCTTATATCGATTAAAACTATTAATTTTATTGCTTCCATAGAATCAAATATCCTACCTCAAAATTTACAGATTACAAATCTTACAATAAACAAATTTTCTTGATTTAGGCTCAACAAAGGCTATCATGACAACATTAGTGATTAGATTTTCTCTAAATTTCAAAATATACAGGTGCGATGGATAAATTGTCGTTTAAATGACACAAAAATGAAAATAACATTGATTTTCATTTTAACAGATACATTTACCAAAAATTACACAAAAATATCTTGAAGTAGGAAAGAGTAAATTTATTCAATAAAAATCGCCATTGGCTTCATCCATAGCCTCCAGATGACTTCAGAATCTCTTGCAACGCATCTGGACAGTATCCTTGTTTAGGTTGGTGACTGCTGCCATAATACTCACCTTCAGTTCATCTTTGCTGTTACAAGGAATTTTGTTGATCTCTCGCTAATCTACACCCAACAGATAATAATCAAGAAAGTTAAAATCTGGGGAGTTAGGTGGCCAGATGTAACGAGTGATGTGGTTGCAGAAATTATCTGACAGCTACGATTGAGTTCTCCTGAATGTGTAGCATGGTGCAGAGTCCTGTTGCCAGATACAGGATCTTCCAGCAGCCACCCTCTTGATCCAGGATAACACTACTTCCTCAAGGCACTTGATATAGGCCTCATTGTTGAGTCTGAGGCCCTGTGAGAAGATGAATGGAAGCTTAATGCTGCCATTAATAGTGATCACTCCAAACACCTTCGTAATCACCATTAGACTCATCCACCTCTTTCCGAATCCTCTGCACTGTCCTCAGATTGACACCCAAACACTCTGATATGTTCATATTGGAGCTTCCTGTGCAAATGCCAATCAGTGCTGCATGCTGTTTCTAAATTTCTGGCAGAGTGAATTGTGACATGGTGCTCTTTTTCTCACAGATTGTGCCCAAGTGTGATCCTATTATACTGTGTAGTAAACAAAATCAAAAACAACGCACATGCATGAAATAAAAAATATAGAATGGCGACAATTTACCCACACATTAGAAAATTTGCCCTAGAAATCATTCACTGTTTAGGCATTAATATTTCTGCATTTCTTAACAAAGAGACATCTCTCAGTGCCTCAAGGGTAGAAAAGGAGTGAATGGGATGAAACAGCCTTATAGCTGTTGTACGATTTTTATATTCTTGTTGATAATTTTCCAAGTGTTGTTTCTTCTGTTGGTCCTTTTACACCTTTTTTCTGCAAGATCACCTTACATTGAAGAAACAGTACAATCAAAATATCACCCAGATCAACAAAAAACATGGTCTATCATTTCTGGCAGGTGCATAACGAACACATAAAATCCACTGGTTGACACAAATTTTGGTGAAGGAAACAAGCCAGTGAAATTGACTGCACAAAACCAGCTTCACCGGTATGGTATTTGAAATTTAGATGTAGAGCCAGATGAACCATTAAGCAAAAATAAGTATGTGCTTACACAGAAATTGCTATAAAATGATGTACACGTCTAAAAAAATAAGTTGAACATGAATTAACCTGCTGACATTTATCAATAGGCTTCAGTATACCACCAGTTAATATTTACCTATAGGCTTCAATACACAACGGCTTAATATTTACCTACAGGCTTCAGTATACAACCAGCTGATATTTACCTGTTTGTTTCAGTACATGGCCAATTATGAAGAGGGAGATGACTGACCTGCAGTGAATCTTTATTGTGATTCTGATTGGTTAATAAGGGAAGGAGATAATGAGGTTTGTATTTACTTTATACATCACATCTCTCCTCTTGAATAAGTTAGTATTACAAATTAACTTTATGGGACTTAATTTTTGCAAACCATCACAGAGGTAGACTACTCCCATGTTCGTTTGGCGTTATTCCAGTCATATGCTTATATGATTCTGTAACACACAGGTTTGATGGTTACACAACCACTTCTGGTTACAGCTCTGTTAGAATCTGGAGGTGCTGTATTTGACAGTGGTTGCTCAGCTGTGATTGTTTTTTTTTCTGGCTAGGTTCCAAGGGCACAGATGTTGTTCTGGATTGGGACTGATGATCAGCTTTCTCGACAGTCGTATGCACCTTCGGTTCCTTCTATAATTCCAGCTGGCATTTCCATGAAGTACATTCTCAGCTAACGTCTTTTTTTGGCACTACTCACCAAGACTCCATGCTTGCATACTTAGCTTGCAGATGTATGGGCTTAGGGTACCTATGGGTCTTAATCCAGCCCTTCTTAGACAAATATGTTGTATCCTTCTATATTTAATTCCAGCAGGCATTTCCATGATCTACATTTTCAGCTATTGTCCTTATTTGCACTATTCTTCAAGACTTAGCTTGCAGATGTATGGGCTTAGGGTCCCTATGGGTCTTAATCCAGCCCTTCCTAGACAAATATGTTGTATCCTTCTATATTTAACTAGAAGCATGGCCCGGCGTTGCCCGTGCTTGATTCAAAAATCGTACGACTCATACAGCACTGCACGCACTAACCTGTTTCTTCCCGCGCATAGCGTGACCTTAAATTAATCTGCATTTAGGAAATACCCAACTGGAAAAACATATTTATGGGTTGACCGATTGTCAATTTGCACTCTGTTTGGGGGGGGGGGGTTCTCAGAGTTGAAACTCACATGGTGACTCCTAATGGCCTCCTCATAAATCCAATCGGGTTTTGTTAAAAACCGACATGCGGTTCAGGTGCAATCTGGGCGTAACGGTTTTTGGGTTTTATCGATTTTCCGCGCTGTTTAGGGGTCCGTGGTCATGAAACTTCTGGACAACACTTCTAAAGGTAGACTCTAAGAGGGTGTCAAATTTGGTTGAAATGCAATAATTCCTTCTGTAAGCAGATTTTTTCGATTATCGATTTTTTCGGAACCTGAGTCTGAACTGAAAAATTGGGCTGCGTCATGTCCTTAAGGCAGCCATTTGCAAACTTGTGGTGAAAATTGCATAGAAATGCGGGCTGGGCAAGGTAACAATGCCCACGACAGACACACAGACAGACAACATAAGAAATATAGATAGTATAGATTCCAGCTGGCATTTCCATGATCTACATTTTCAGCTAATGTCCTTTTTTGCACTATTCACCAAGACTTAGCTTGCAGATGTATGGGCTTAGGGTCCCTATGGGTCTTAATCCAGCCCTTCCTAAACAGGTATGTTGCATTTGGTGACCAGCATCGATCATGTTTGGTGGTTACAACTAATGGTAGGTGTATAACCATATGTTTAATGCAACTTTAGCTAGAGTAATCACACTCCCTGTGTTACAGTTGAGTGAAGGAATGCATGAATTAGGTGTGGCTATTTCTGTCATTTCTCTCCCTCACTTGACTTGTGTTGTCTATTGGAAATCTTCCTTTACAGTGTGTACCTGCTGGGACGAATTATGCAGTGCATCTTCCCCCCCCATTCAAACAGGCTGCAGTTTTTATTTGTGGTCCAGGTGATGTTTTGCTCCTAGTGACTTCCCTGAAGGCGGAAAATTTCTAGTGAAAAGAACTTTCTTGATATTGGTATATCAACAATTTATTTATGATGAGAAAATATAAAAGTTGCAATCATCCCACTTGTACAATTCAACTTTAATAAATTCTTTTCTTCCCTTGAGGCATTGAGAGATATCTAATGGTTAAAATGTAGGTGCTACTGCCCACTTTGCTGCGGATAGAATTTCAAAGAAAAAAGATGGCAGCTTGGTCCTGGTGGCCTAGCGCGGACTGAGTAAAGTGGCATTTATAGACTTATAAGTATAACTGCCTGAACAGGGGCTTTGATTAATTAGGCACCCACACAAAAACCCTTTCTTAACCTTTACCCCACTAATTTCTTTCTAGAATTGTTCCCCCTGCATTTTTTTTTGGGGTGGGGTGTTGAAGGTGCAAAAACACTGAACACCTACTGTTTTAAAATTGTTATAACTTTCTTTGTATTGTTCGTATCGATTTTATTTTTTGTACACTAATAAAAGAATGAATGAGTAATATTTTGATGTAATGCATTACATTTTGCATGCATGTTTTGATGTTGAAAACAAAAAAAAAATGAAATGCGAAATAAAAAACAAATATATAAAAAATATACATAAATAATCCAACATATTTTAACTTTTATTACTCCCCGTGGAGTTCGGTGGGGGTGGGGGGGGGAGGTGAAGGAAAATGACTAAAAAAGGCTTTCATTTTGTCAAAAAAGTGACGTGTTTCCTCGTGCTTACATACGAGAAGACATTAGCATTTGTCTGCTTTTTCTTTCACCTGTTTATTTGTCTCGTAGACGAATAAAGTTATTATTTAGTTGTTTATAATTAGGCAAAGTAATTCACCTTCAGAAAGGCTAACAGATATATCGATGGTCGCCAGTAGCTTCCATAAAATTACTCAGGCATGGATGATAGTAGCCGCTAGTGGTCATCATAACTTTCCGCCACGTCACTAGCATGGTTATCATCTTCAACCACTTCACCATCAATATCCACTTGAGTAAAGCCTTCAAAATCATCATCAGAGTGTTAATAAAAAAAACCTCCTGAGTAAAGGCTTTGTTGGATATAGACACAGCCATTTTTTTTTTACAAAAAATTGTGAAAAAAAATTAATGTGGGTTTGATTGATGTTACACCTCATGTAGAGTCTAGAAGAATTCAAAATGGCGCTGGAAAACAGAAGTTTAGAATTGTTCCAAAGCAGTAGTAGGTGATTTCCAGTTTAAAATACTAGAAATAACAGTTGACAAATGTTTATTTATAGCAACTGTCTCAAGGTGACAGAAGTCACTGATAGTACTAAGGGAGAGAATTCTATGCCGACTATTGTCGCCTGAAATGTGGTATATCGGTACTTATATATGATAAGTATAACTGACTGAAGAGGTGCTTTGATTAATTAGGCACCAACACAAAAACCCTCTTTCTTAAAGAAAGAAATTTCTATTAGCATTGCATGTGATCGATGCTCCTTTCTGTGCAAAATATGCAGGATAGGTTTTTAAAATACTCGTTAAAAGTGATTCAATCCTGGAGCTGCATTTAGGCTTTGCCAATTTCTCCTGTCAGTTTCTGTATCAGGTGCCTGGTGAAACCTTGTCACTTTGAACAAGAAATTGCTGCTGCTATTCCCATCATTTGGATTTTGTATCTATTGTTACGAATGTTCACTGTGGCATAATGGATAGCAGCTTCGAATGAGAAATCGGAGAGCAGAGTTGAATTCCAGTTAGGTTCATTACCTTCACTTATGAGTAAAGGTATGAATCCATCTCCTCCTCCTACAACTATGAGTTGAATAGCAAGACAAACTGGGTCCTATAGCCTTGGTTGGCAACCAGTCTACTTCAGAAAGAAACAGTAGCCTATTGTAGGAAAATCTTCTGCCTTGTCAGTGATGAATCAAAAGAGATATGATTGCCTAAGTGTGTATCATGTATGACACTCAACTGACTGATTTGTGCTCTTACACGTGATAGCAGAGCATAGTGTCAATCTACGGGTTATGAGCCCAGCATGCTTCCACTGTGCTATGCAGTGAAATTCAAGTACAAAGCAACAGCCCATGTACTTTTGGTTTTGTTGCTTAGGAGATGCCACTTCTCTTGGGGTTATGGGGTAAAAAATCTTGAATAAATATCAAAAGAACATTTGGTTAAGAATAGATGACAAAAAAAAAAACTTACTTTGTCCTTTTCTTCTTTAGAGATGACAGTCACATTTCCAACCTTCAGCTTCGATAATTTCTCACTGAGGAGAGAATTCTGGAAAAAAAAAAAATGGCAAACTTGGACCTTTGAGCCTGCATAAGAAAGGACAGTCAAAAGAAAGGTGTTTTCCGTGACACATTTTAACTTCACTCTTCGGCAATGTTTATTGTTTTTAAAAAAAACGTGATTAGAATTATAATAAGACCTAAACACATGAAAGTGAATTTATACATGAATTAGATGAAGCCATTTTAATTATTATTAACTTTTGACTCATATTTCTTTCATTTTATTTTTCTTACTCTTTATTAGACTCAGAGTTTTCAAATTTTTGACAAATCATTGTCAATTATTATTAATTTTAAATTACTGTATTATTTTGTGCATAATTCAAGAAATTTCGAACAAAAATTAAAAGCTAAAACGATGTGATCCTATTATATGCAAGTACATGTTTTCAGAAATTTTTACTCAGCTAATAAAACAACTTATGTGAAACAGCAAAATTGAAAATCCACTCAGATAAAGTGTCTATATTTGGACTTTGTTAGTTTTTTTTATAAAGTTTTTTTCTTTTCTGAGGCAATGTTTATTGTTTTAAAAGGCAATGACTAGAATTGTAATAACACAAAACCTTCAACTCTGACTCCTGTATTTTTGGCACCTCTGACTCCGACTCCTCTTCATGTAATTAAGTGATTATGGCCTACCAATCTCATAAAGCCTATGCATTTGCTCCTAACTTGAGTTGGTCTATATCATTATAACTGGATTATATCAAAGTATAAAGATATTGTGGCTTTTATATCATACTTGTTCATTCTTCAATATTTTCTTTGAAAGGATATAGAAGAAATAACAATATATATATATATATCTATGCAAATAAGAAATAAGTACAGACCAAAAATAAAACTACTTTATAACAGAAGTAGAAATATAATCTTTTACAGGATGTAAAAGACAACAAAAATAAAAATTCTATAATGCAAGATTTTTTTTTACCTATATAGTTTTGCAAATACAAAATAACTACAGAAAAATAAAATGACTTTAATAAAAGAAGTTGAGATGAATTTCTTGAAAGGAAATTCTAAATATACATAAGTCTTATAAATATATATAAGTAAATATATATAAATATATCTAAATATATGTAAGTATTCAACTTACAACAATCTTCCTAATCGGTAGGCCCCTGGATGTAATTGTTAACAGCCAGTCCGTTGAATAGAGCTGAGTAGTCGGAACACAAAACCTTTGACTCAAACTCCTCTATTTTTGGCACCTCTGACTCCGACTCCTCTTTATGTAATTAAGTGATTATGGCCTACCAATCTCATAAAGCCTATGCATAGTAAATATACAGTACAAATAAAATTTCTATAATGTAAGACTTTTTGCAGAAAGTGTAAATTTAACTGGTGTCGGAGTCAGTATAGTTTTACCAAATCTGATGCCAGTGACCCCTTAATTGTTTCCAACTCCACAGCGTTGTACAGAAGGATGCTGAGAACATTATCCACCAAACATGTGAGCAATGATGAAGTTTCACAGAAAATGGAAACAAAATTGACATATTACAGTAGAAGAAATAACAATAAAAATTCTATAATGTAAGATTTTTTACATAAAGTGTAAATTCAACTGGAGTCAGAGTCCAGTATATTTTAACCGATTCCAACTCCAGGGATCCCTTAATTGCTTCTGACTCCACAGTCCTGTAAAATTCTATACAAATAAGATATATATATATATATATATATATATATATAGAGAGAGAGAGAGAGAGATATATCCCCTTACAAATAAGAAATAACAGAAGTTGAAATATAATCTTTTACATGATGTAAAAGACGTAGAAAAAGAAAATTTCTATAATGTAAGTTTATATATATATATATATATATATATATATAATCGACTCTCCGTCGCGTTCGGACGTATGAGGGCCAGGCCGATAAGTCCCCAGGAAACCACGTCCCGACATCGGCACATGAGATTTGTTTATAGTGGTGAAGGCATTGTGCAGGACCATCGTTTTTTTGAAGGGACGAATACAGAAACCTGGTGCACCGAATACATGCCACAAGGTTCCCAAACGACCCTCCGCAGGTTTTGAATTCAGAGTTGTCCTTCTCCTAGACCAGTTGCCATCCAAGGCTATAGAACCCAGTCTGTCCTTTATTTTACCCATAGCTGGAGGGAGATGAAGAGGATACATACCTTTCCCAAGGGTATTAGCATGTAAAGTGAATGCAGTGGATTCGACTGGAATTAGTTTTCGGCTCTTTGATTCCTCAATCCAAGCCGCTAACCACTGCTCCACCGTGCCTCCTATATATATATATATATATATATATATATATATATAGATATATATATATATATTTGCAGATTTACAAAAAAATAACTACAAAAACTTAAAATGACTTGAGATGAATATCTTTAAAGGAAATAGTAAATATACACTAAAAGAAATAACAATAAAAATCAAAATTCTATAATTACATAAAGTGTAAATTCAACTGGCGTTGAAGTCAGTATAGTTTTACCAACTCCGATGCCAGTTGAATGCCTTAATTGTTTCCAAATCCATGACACCGACTCCACTGCCCAGTTTATTAAATTGTTGGGTATCTTTTTTTAAAATCTTCACTCACCTCTTTTGTGAGTTGCTGGATCTGAGCCTGGATCTCTTCTGTAGTTAAAGAGGAATTTAAATTTCGAACCTCTAAAACAAATCAAAAATAAAACAGACATCGACAAATAATGAAAAAAATTGTAAATATATCTGTAGTTGTTCAAGCAATATAAGAAAACATTTTTTCTTCTTCAGCATCATTTCAAAGCAATTCACAAAGTTCTGAAAGCCATTATTTAAATTCATTTATTTATTTTAGATGTACCTAGACATATAGTCTAACAATTTTTCTCAACTAGGGTGCATATAACATTATTGGCTGGCTGTTTAGTTGGTCGTTTTGTTTCATGGCATATCAAAACCTCAGTGGGTCATTTAATGCCAACAAGATGTTTGAAATAGATACATAGTGATAGTTTGGTAAAAAAGATTTGTATGTATACATATATATCTGAACCATTTTGGGGCACCTCGGCGTGGTGTAATGGTTAGCAAGATTGTCTCGCTAGATCAGTTTTGACTGAAAAGTGAGTTCGATCCTCACTAGGTGTCCCATACTTTCAGCCTTGTGCCACATCTAAGCTAAGCTTAGAAAATAACTATATTTGAACCATTTTTTAATTACTCATATTTTTGTGTACAATCACATATACTGCTGGTAATATTTTTTTCTTTTTATTTTTTCTTAAATTAATTTCTGCTAATAATTTTTTTCAAAGTATTTTTGGTATTAAAATCTATTTTTACATTTTTATGCTTTTTTTACCTGTTTCAGAGTTAACTATTTGCCCATAGCTGGAACCCTAACAGGTGCTACCACCCCGGGTCTGGGTAGACCTGGGAACACCAACAATTAAGAAGTGGTTCCACACTCCTCAAAACCTCCTTATCAGAGGCCTTGCTGTTGGACGTAGTTCATTGTCTTACCCTGGACATGGATGTAGTTCATCTTCATGCCCGGGACACCATATTGGAGGGGTCTTACTCCTCTGCAGAGATGCAGTCAGCATATTCTACAGCCACAGCCAACAGGGTGTTAACATTATTGGGGAGTCCACACAAAAAAATAGCAAACTGGGGGCCCACGGTAATATTTTATTGGTCTATAGAACAATTTCACTTCAGAATGGTAGTTACAACTGCGAATTGGAATTTATCCAGTAATATATGCCATATTAAAAATAGAATAGGCTCTTCAGCCTTGGTTGGCAACCAGTCTAGGAAAACTACAAGACTGGATTCAAAATCAGTTCGGCATGGAGCTAACCACTCCATCTCACATAAAGGTTGCTTGTTATACAAACCACAGTGGCAACACCTAGCTGTGGCCTAATTCTCCACAGCAAGTCCACAACTCCATCTCAATCAAAACGCTACTCATTACACAAACCATAGTAGCAACACCTAGCATGAGGAGGCAGATGCCCAATTCTCCACAGCAAGTCTGCAAAAATAGTGTTATACTTCAGCTAATCTACTCAGCAGTCCAAAGAGGTATCTCGTTTATTGGGCAATGAAAAGAATAATATTATATTACTCACCTTTGTCCAGTTGATTAACAGTATTTTGCAAGCCCTTTAGTTCATTAGTTAATGCAGATATATTCAGTTCCATTTGTTTCATGTCCTCGTCATTTACTTCTGGGAACTGATCCTTTGAAAAGTTGAAAAAGGCGAGAAGATGAAAAAAAAAAAAAAAAAAAAATGTCTCTCTGAATTTTGGTTTTGAGGAATTCTTATTATTTACAATAATTACATTCAGACTACCTTACAGCGACATCACTTTGAAACACCGGTTCCTGCATGATTACCAAAGTTAAGCAACATCGACCCTGGTCAGTACTTTTATGAGTGACCGCTCGGGAAATACCAGGAACTGTGAGCTTGGATGTATGGGTGAAGTAATGGATAATTGTTAATCAGAGAGCCAGGTTCCAATTCCAGTAGGGTCCATTATATTCACTTATGAGCAAATACCCTTGGGAAAAGGTATAAATCCACCTCTTCTTCCCCCCAGCTATGGGTAAATTAGTAAGACTTGTATCGCTAAACTAATATCATCTTAAAAAAAAATTCTTACAATCTAAAAATATTTTCTGGCTTTAAATAACCTGCAAAGGGTTGATAAGCCATAGAAAACAAATCACTCAATCAATGAAACACTTTATTAACCACACAGACATCTATTTTAGATTTATTTACATTCTCTGGGATGTAAATGCATAAAAATTACGATGGTCACAAAGTGACGGATCAGTTTATATAGAGATTGCTATATAGAATTGATCCCCCAATTTATATCCACATTGTAATTTTTGTTTTTTCAAATTTTGATTAGGCATGAATCCACCTCCTCTCCCCACAAATATGGGTTAATTAGTAAAATTTGTATCACTAAGCCAATAAAAAAAAAAAAAAAAAAAAAAAAAATCAAAAAAAATCTTATAATATAAAAATATTTTCTGGTTTTAATCTTTAGCATTCTGGAGGCGAAAATTGTCACCATAGAAACTACAGTGGCCACAGAGTGAGGGATCACTTTATATATTCATTCTAATATAGAATTGGTCCCTCACTTTATATCCACATTATAATTTCTTGTTTGTTGATAAGCCATAGAAAACGAATCAATCAATGAAATACTGGTTAGACACACAGGCATCTCTTTTAGATTTACTTACATTCTCTGGGATGTAAAGGTATAGAAACTACTGTGATCACAAAGTGAGGGATCAGTTTACATATTGATTGTTCAGAGTTTGTCTATATTTCTGAGATGAGGTATTATGTACATTATTTACATTATTCGGACTATTGTCCTCATCTTTGTCGCCATATTTATCACAACGTTTCGGCCGTTGTACGCTCTGGTCTTCATCAGGTGGTCAAACTGAACCCTTTATTTCGCTCACTGGGGTTTCCACGTGCCATGGAAGCTATCCTCAAGGACACATGGCACAGTGGTTAAAGGTGTTGGTTAGATCCAGTGACAAGACCCAAAGAGTGTGAGTTCAATACCCGGTTAAGATAGTGGAGAACTTTCAGAGGGAAAATTAATAGGAGATAACTGATAGCTTCCATGGCATGTGGAACGAGAACAGTCTACCCCAGTGAGTGAAATAAAGAGTTTAGTTTGACATTCCAACCACCTGAAGAAGGCCGGAGTGTACAACGGCTGAAACATTGTGATAAATATGGCGACAAAGATGAGGACAATAGTCTGAATAATGTAAATAATGTACATAATGATTGTTATACAAAATTTATCCCCATTTCATATCCACATTTTTTTGTTTAACAAATTCAAATGACAATACATGTGTGAAATTCAAATAAACTATTGTTCAGGGATCAAAGTCACTTTTGTACAGCAAATGAAGTCACATACAGAGTGATAAAGGTTAACAGTTTTTCTCATTTTACTTATTATAAAAAGATTGTGTGTGTCTGTACGTTTATATATGGGATCGGATTTCCTACATTTTTCAACCGATTTCAACAAAACTTCACAGGACTACATAAAGTTACCTTTCGGTGGTTCTGACAGTGCCAAAAATTGGAAAAACACAATTAATAGGCATTAATGAAAGGGGGACAACTCATATCGAGTTATACTTATTATAAAACCCAGGTTGGTTTGTGTGTGTGTGTCTGTACATTTATATATTGGATCGGATTTCCTACATTTTTCAACCGATTTCAACAAAACTTCACAGGACTACATAAAGTTACCTTTTCGGTGGTTCTGACAGTGCCAAAAAAAATTGGAAAAACACAATTAATAGGCATTAATGAAAGGGGACAACTCATATCGAGTTATACTTATTATAAAACCCAGGTTGGTTGTGTGTGTGTGTGTGTGTGTTCGTTTATATATGGGATCGGATTTCCTACATTTTTCAACCGATTTCAACAAAACTTCACAGGACTACATAAAGTTACCTTTTCGTGGTTCTGACAGTGCCAAAAATTGGAAAAACACAATTAATAGGCATTAATGAAAGGGGGACAACTCATATCGAGTTATACTTATTATAAAACCCAGGTTGGTTGTGTGTGTGTGTGTCTGTACATTTATATATTGGATCGGATTTCCTACATTTTTCAACCGATTTCAACAAAACTTCACAGGACTACATAAAGTTACCTTTTCGGTGGTTCTGACAGTGCCAAAAATTGAAAAACACAATTAATAGGCATTAATGAAAGGGGGACAACTCATATCGAGTTATACTTATTATAAAACCCAGGTTGGTTGTGTGTGTGTGTGTGTGTGTGTTCATTTATATATGGGATCGGATTTCCTACATTTTTCAACCGATTTCAACAAAACTTCACAGGACTACATAAAGTTACCTTTTCGTGGTTCTGACAGTGCCAAAATTGGAAAAACACAATTAATAGGCATTAATGAAAGGGGGACAACTCATATCGAGTTATACTTATTATAAAACCCAGGTTGGTTGTGTGTGTGTGTGTGTGTTCGTTTCTATATGGGATCGGATTTCCTACATTTTTTCAACCGATTTCAACAAAACTTCACAGGACTACATAAAGTTACCTTTCGTGGTTCTGACAGTGCCAAAAATCGAAAAACACAATTAATAGGCATTAATGAAAGGGGGACAACTCATATCGAGTTATACTTATTATAAAAACCCAGGTTGGTTGTGTGTGTGTGTGTGTGTGTGTTCGTTTATATATGGGATCGGATTTCCTACATTTTTCAACCGATTTCAACAAAACTTCACAGGACTACATAAAGTTACCTTTCGGTGGTTCTGACAGTGCCAAAAATTGGAAAAACACAATTAATAGGCATTAATGAAAGGGGGACAACTCATATCGAGTTATACTTATTATAAAACCCAGGTTGGTTGTGTGTGTGTGTGTGTGTTCGTTTCTATATGGGATCGGATTTCCTACATTTTTCAACCGATTTCAACAAAACTTCACAGGACTACATAAAGTTACCTTTCGGTGGTTCTGACAGTGCCAAAATCGGAAAAAACACAATTAATAGGCATTAATGAAAGGGGGACAACTCATATCGAGTTATACTTATTATAAAACCCAGGTTGGTTGTGTGTGTGTGTGTGTGTTCGTTTATATATGGGATCGGATTTCCTACATTTTTCAACCGATTTCAACAAAACTTCACAGGACTACATAAAGTTACCTTTCGGTGGTTCTGACAGTGCCAAAAATCGGAAAAACACAATTAATAGGCATTAATGAAAGGGGGACAACTCATATCGAGTTATACTTATTATAAAACCCAGGTTGGTTGTGTGTGTGTGTGTGTGTGTGTGTGTTCGTTTATATATGGGATCGGATTTCCTACATTTTTCAACCGATTTCAACAAAACTTCACAGGACTACATAAAGTTACCTTTCGGTGGTTCTGACAGTGCCAAAAATCGGAAAAACACAATTAATAGGCATTAATGAAAGGGGACAACTCATATCGAGTTATACTTATTATAAAACCCAGGTTGGTTGTGTGTGTGTGTGTGTGTTCGTTTATATATGGGATCGGATTTCCTACATTTTTCAACCGATTTCAACAAAACTTCACAGGACTACATAAAGTTACCTTTCGGTGGTTCTGACAGTGCCAAAAATTGGAAAAACACAATTAATAGGCATTAATGAAAGGGGGACAACTCATATCGAGTTATACTTATTATAAAACCCAGGTTGGTTGTGTGTGTGTGTGTCTGTACATTTATATATTGGATCGGATTTCCTACATTTTTCAACCGATTTCAACAAAACTTCACAGGACTACATAAAGTTACCTTTCGGTGGTTCTGACAGTGCCAAAAATTGGAAAAACACAATTAATAGGCATTAATGAAAGGGGGACAACTCATATCGAGTTATACTTATTATAAAACCCAGGTTGGTTGTGTGTGTGTGTGTGTGTTCGTTTATATATGGGATCGGATTTCCTACATTTTTCAACCGATTTCAACAAAATTTCACCTTCTTTTGGAAGGTAGTGTTTCTTATTGTCTTGCACACTTTTTTCTTTATTTTTACATTCAGAATGCTTTAAAAATTCCATTTACAATTGTTTATAATTCTATTCAATCAGTAGACTCATAACGATTGAAAACAATGTTTTTGTTTGAGTTTGACCAATTCGTGAAAAAAAAAAAAAAACGAAAAAAAAAAAAAAATAATTAAGACATGCGTTTCCGTCAACCTTAAACAATAATCTTTGTCAATTTTATTTTTCAGTCTTTATGATGGTCGATACTTGATCTATCTCTCACTGTTACATCCCCGGGCAATGCCGGGCTCTACTCTAGTATTATCTAATAGTCACTAACCCCTTGTGCCCCTAGTGGCTTTATTGTATTGCCGCAGGTGGAATGATTAAAAAATAAAAGATACGGGAGTATATATGATAAATGCATGGCTTCCACATGATTCCGAGACTTGTAAACAATATTTGTGCTTACTCAAATGAGATCATTTTATTCAAGCTACTGTAGGAATTCTGACCAATCGGAATTTAATGTTGGATTTTTGACCAATCAGATGTGGGGATTCCATTTTGCCCTCAACCCTTATTCAAAGTATTCATTCCCAGAGGTGGTTTTCATTTTTATCCAATGAGAAACATAGTTGGTTCCATCAAAACAATGCCCGTCTATTTAGTTTCTCAAGTATTTACAATAGACAATTGATAACTTACTTGATTAGTGACATAAACTGCTCATTTTCTGTACATAAAGCAATGAAAGTTACGAATCCATCTCTTCACCCTAGCCCCTGCTAAGAGTTAACCCTTTTCCTGCTAATTATTTTGGGAAAAATGTTTAATTTTCAGACAATTGTTTTTTCATTTGTTTTTAATATAGTAACTAAGAAACTGAGGCACCTTGAAGTACCTGAGCAGTGGCTAACACCTCTATCAGGTACTAGCAGCATGGTCCGGCGTTGCCTGTGCTTGATTCAAAAATTGTACGACTCATACAGCAACCGCTATCACTTGACTTAAAATATTTTTGCCCTTCCTTGCCTTTAAATGAGTGCCCTTTGCCGTGCTGATGTTGCTACATGTCTTACTTCTTGCCTATCTCACACTGCAAATTTTTTCTAAGCTCTATACTAAACATTAAATCTGTTAAAAAAAAGAACTAAACAAAATGAACACAAAACGATCAGCTTTAAAAAAAGGACTCATAACTGGAAAAACCGAATGAAAAAAGAATGTTAATAACAAATACTTTTTTCACACCCAACCCAGTTCTATGGAATCAGAATCAACGTTGAGTTTAAGTGTTTAATGAACCAATTGGAGTAAAATGCCATGCAGATTTAAATTTTTCCCACTTGTGACAAATGCAGCTATCGATTTTTTTTGCATGCTAGTTAACATTCGTGCCAGTCAGCTGTTGGCTCTCACGCTGGCCAATAGAATCTTCCTGCCTATTCGTGGCAGCCAGCTATAGGCTCTCACTCTGGCCAGTAGAAAATGGCCGCAAACTACATGAAAACTGCTGTAGAAGCATGAAAAAATCAATTATTTCTACTATCGATGGGAGTTGGGAAATGCAAAGTTGGTCTTGGCCTTCCCGCTAACTTGGAGCATGTGCATGTAAATTTTGGTGCAAATTCATCGAAAATTGCAGCCGTGCATTCGTTACACACACATCCTGCCTTTTATAGATAGAGATGAGTTGACAACTGGGCTTGTTTCATTCTTAGAAGGGCATAAAAAGAATCAAGCTTGTCTTATAAACATGGCTGTAGCTGGTTTTTGAGCGTTATGGTTTGGACCCGTTTACTCATCTGTGTCTGGAAAAGACACTTTCGGTAAAAACCGTGTATATAATGGGGAAGGGATTAACAGCTGGGCTCTTTAGCCTTATATTACATTCCATATTGTCACTAGCTTCCCTGAGACTCCAATACCCCTTCATAGATGGTATTGTTGGAGTTAGCTCCTCCTTAGTTCCTTAACCCTTCACCAGGGGTCTCTCTCCCCTGGCTATAAATACTGGGTGACCTTTCGCCTTGATCTCTCTTTTCCCTCAGGCCTTGGGCCGTATACCACCTCGCGTGGAGGTGAGGTAATTCTTTTCTCTTCATTTCAGCTAACACCAATATGTTTCACAAATTCTGGGAACACGCTAAGAACAATATCAATACATGTACGTACGAACACTCATTACAATACATACACATAGTATTCACCACACAAACTCAGTGTAACTGTCCATGTGCTTGTAACTTGTTGTTGTTAATGCATATATTTGTTTGTATACAATTATTGGTCTTGTTTGTTTTCTTTGTCTTCTTTAGACTTAATTAAAGTCCAACATTCTTATGTAACTGGACCGGCTAGCAGGAAATTTTAACCCATATGTGTTCTTTATATATTTGCCGCCACGGTCCTCTACAGTATCAACAAAAGACTGTTTCTTGTTTGAGTGGACGGTTTGAGAGTGGGGTCCCTGGTCCACGTCCCATTATGACGATCGAGTGTCCGCACTAAGCCCGGCATCAATATGGTTAGTTGGAGAGAGCTCAAACTGACCAGGTTGACTAAGGAAGGAAAATTCGGGCATTTTTGGCTACAGTGTTTGTTGGAGAGTGAGTTATTTTCCTGACTGGTTACATGCATTGTGATTTAAGATAGTACCAGCGAATCAAGTTTTCAGCATTTCTTTCTGTCCCCGATACTCGAGTCTGGACTTAGTGATTTTTCTTTGTGTTGTGAAAGTAATCTGCGACAAATTTGCTTTGAGAATGCTTACACTTACATTTCTTTTTCCTATTCATTTTATCAGAGAAGAGGGACAGATGTGATCTTATATAAACTAAGACAAAAGCAATCAACCACTGTCAGAAGGCCGCATGCACAAGGTATTCTGGCCAGTGGCTAAAAATCCTGACCCTGTCTCTACATTCTGTTACATTTGTTTGTCAACCAGTCTAGGAGAAGAAAAAAAATAATTTGGGTGTAGAGCTAGCACCATCACCCTGCAAAAATCTACTTGCTACAGAAATCAAAATTATAGTGCAGCTGTGGCGTTTTTTTTTTTCCACAGGGGAATCTACAGGGTTAACATAAATTTAGTGTTACATGACAATTGATCTATCTGGCATTCCACAGGTGTATGTTATTTGCAACCGCCCAGTTGCTTCTTTTGCCTTCAATGGCCTGTGAGTGTTAAATTCTCCACGTGTTTCTCCTTATGCCTCCCAGAAATTTCAATTGCCTCTTTCTGACTGCAGAGTACATTAATCAAAAACATAATAAATATTTTCATGGTTATTGTCCTAACAAACTTTCCGCTATGATACCTAGATTTTTAATGGATTTTAGCACAGTACTGGATTAGCGGCAAGATCTCGTCATTTTATTGTGGAAATGGTTAGATGTAACTGTAAGTTCTAGGTTAATGGTATCTTCTTTAACATTTTTCAGTTGTGGAACTTTCTTCTAGCTTCTTGCTTTCCAGTCAACTTTGATCTTCAGAAATTTAAATACAATGCCAATCATTATCTTTTGTCCTCTTAATTACTTTTTCTTTTAATTGTTCCCTCACCTTAAGAATGTTTAATTTTTCTTCTTATATTCTCTGACACTCAGAAACTTCTTCTGTCTTTGTTTGAGGTTAAAGGAGTAAAAAAAAAAAAAATTGAAGAAGATATATGTGTGAGGTATTTCTGGGAGGCTAGACGTAACCGTAAGTTCTATACTAACAGTTTCTTCTATCGCACTTCTCGCTCGTGGGACTCTCTTCCGGCTTTTTGCTTCCAAGTCAATTTGGATTTTCAAAATTAAAATGCAATGCCAATCGTTATATTCTGTCTTGTTAATTCTTGTCCTTTTATCATTCCCTTTCCTTAATGTTTTTCTATGCTAACAGTTTCTTTTCTCGCACTTCTCACTTGTGGAACTCTCTTCCGGCTTCTTGCTTTCCAGCCAAGTTTCATCTTCAAAAATATAAATGCATCCCCAGTCGTTATCTTCTGTCCTCTTAATTCTTGCTCTTTTAATTGTCCCCTCACCTTAAAAATGTTTCGTTCTTCTTCTCATATTCTATGACATTCAGAAACTTCTTCCGTCTCCTAATTGTCTTGTGTCCTTGCTTGGGGTGAAGAGAGTCAACAAAAATGAAGAAGGTATATGTGGGAGGTATTTGTGGAAGGCTAGATGTAACCGTAAGTTCTATGCTAACAGTTTCTTCTATCGCACTTCTCGCTTGTGGGACTCTCTTCTGGCTTCTTGCTTCCCAGTCAAGTTTGATGTTCAAAAATTTAAATGCAATGTCAATTGTTATCTTGTCGTCTTAATTCTTTTTCTTTTAATTGTTCTCTTCCCATAACTTTTATCACCATGTATGTGACTAATATGCTTGCCACTGAAGTTGAATCTGATCACAGAACAATAGTGTGTTTGAATTTCATAGTTGTGTTGTCATATCCTGCTATGGCAACAGAAAACAGCTCTGAGCGAAATTAACAATAAGAATACTGCAATTTTGAGGCCTTGAAAAAGAATGCCATGGAAAGAGAAGTAATATTAATAATGCAGTGTGTTAAAAGTCAAGTGTTTTTATTTCTCATATTCTCTAAGACTCAGTAACCCCTTGCGTCATTGTGGTTTTATTGTCTTGCTTGGAGTGAAATGATTAAATGAATCAAAACAACAAAGATGAGGATACTCATCTATTTAGTTGCAGATACGTACCACAGACAATAGATAACTTACTTGGTTAGCAACATAGACTGCTTGTTTACCGTACATTTTCTTTTTTATTGCCCCATTTTCAGCCAATTCATCAAGAGCTTTGGTTACAGCCTGAAAAAAAAAAGTTAAGTGGATTATGAAATTAAAAGAGCTGTCAAAAAGATTAAAATATACTGACTTACATCAGTACATCAACAATTTCATCGTCTCATAAAAAAAGATTTACATGATCTCATTCTTTGTCAATGCACTTAATTCATTGGTGAATATTAATTATATAGATCAAATATATAATTATATAGATCTGTAAGACTAATCAAAGTTTAGTTTTATTTATATAATTATTGATCCACCCTCCCACCTCCCTGTTCAATCAGCATACAGCTCTTAAAAATTTTGCATATTTGTTGATCTCATATAAGTAAAAACATTTTTTTTTTAAATAAACAAGCAATATTCATGAGTGTGTTAATACCGTATGGTTTATGGCACACTGACTATTACTTAACGATTATCTAGTGCAGGGTTTCCCAACCTGGGTGATATCGCCCACCAGTGGATGATTTCAACTGTTGGTTGAGCATTGAGCAGCAAAACAGAAAATGATGTATGAGTGGAAATTTTGGCAAGCAATATAGGATTTTGAGTATTAAAAAGCTATTTCAATATATGCTACACAAAAAAACAAATAAAGATATACAAAAAAACTGTACTAAACGGAACTGTCATTTAGCTTGATGTGCCTAACCGCTTGGCCACAAAGGATCGTTTGGTTGGCAAGGTTGAATTTACTGCTTTTAACCTTCAATCATCCATGAATCTCTCATGTACATTCAGCAGTTATGAATGTATGTGAGAGATTCATGGATAGGATTCCGTATAGGATGCAGGTTCGAATCCTGTCGAAGGACGAATATTTTCTATGAAGATTTCTCGGACATTCAGGCTGGTAAATGTTATTTAATACTGCTTATTATAAACAGAGCATTTACTAAAATACTTGTATCTATAAAAAGAATGTTAAACATAAAAATGTCATTAAATAATTGTCGAACTTTGTCCATTTCATAAAATATATATATATATAGTTTACAATGGTCAAGTTTGCTTTCATTTGTTCTTTAACCCAGTAGCAGCAGCTGCCATATAAGTCAGCATTATTTGTTAACTCCCTTTGTTATTTTTTGCTACATCATAAAGTCAGTTTATGAACCAGTAACAAACTTTTACCAAACAATTTTGGAATGCTTTCGAATAATTCACTATACAGACAGACAGTAGCAAAATTTTCCTATGTGAAAACAGGTGATGACGTAAAAAAATGTTGGAACACCTTGATTTAGAGTCAACCAAGTTTTGCCAAAAGATTTTTGTTTTGTTTTTTAAGATGTGCTCTAATCACTGAATAGTGTTACATTTATTCATTATTTCTTTTAAAAATTAATTTGATTTTTTTGCAAATACAAGAAATATATTTTCTTGAGTATAATACAAAACCAGGCTTTTGAAGCTAAAAACGTAATAAAATACATCCATGAGTATAATATGGACCCACAATACAGCCATTCCTATGTCAATGTTTTTTTTTTAAAGTTGTACCATATTATCCATTAAATCTTAATTTAGTTCATGTATTTCACTAAAATATTTAATTTTCCAAAATATTAAAGAAGAAATTATATATATATATATATATATATATATATATATATATATATATATATATATATATATATAGCACTACTATGGGTTTGGCGTTGCTAGTGCTTGATTAAAAAATTGTACGACTCATACAGCAATTGCTATCACTTGACTTAAAATATTTTTGCCCTTCCTTGCCTTCAAAGGAGTGCCCTTTGCCATGCTGATGTTGCTACATGCCTTACTTTTTGCCTATCTCACACTGCAAAATTTTTCTAAGCTCTATACTAAACATTAAATCTGTTACAAAAAAAGAACTAAACAAAATGAACACAAAACGATCAGCTTTAAAAAAGGACTCGTAACTGGAAAAACCGAATGAAAAAAAGAATGTTAACAACAAATACTTTTCCACGCCCAACCCAGTTCTGAGGAATCAGAATCAACGTTGAGTTTAAGCAAGCGAATGAGCCAATTGGAGTAAAGTGCCATGCAGATTTAAATTTTTCCCCACTTGTGACGAATGCAGCTATCGATTTTTTTTTCATGCTAGCATGTTAGTTAACATTCATGTCAGTCAGGTGTTGGCTCTCACGCTGGCCAATAGAATCTTCCTGCCTATTCGTGGCAGCCAGCTCTTGGCTCTCACTCTGGCCAGTAGAAAATGGCTGCAAACTATATGAAAACTGCCGTAGAAGCATGAAAAAAATTGATTATTTCTACTATCGATGGGAGTTGGGAAATGCAAAGTCAGTCTTAGCCCTCCCGCTAACTTGGAGCATGTGCATGTAAGTTTTGGTGCAAATCCGTTGAAAATTGCGGCCATGCATTCGTTATACACACACACACACACACACACATCCTGCCTTTTATAGATAGAGATAAGATTAGTGTAATCAAGAGTAAAAGACAAAAGAAATACTAATTGACAATGCTTCATCTATGAAAGTGTAAATGCTGCTTTGGTTTATGCGTTGAGGTTATCAAATGTAATCGCATGTTCTAAGAGCATTTATCTATTATACATTTAACGATTCAAGGAAAAACAACAAGACTCTAATTGTGCATCAACAATAAAATATATATTAAAACAATAACATACAAAACAATCATGTAATGTTGTGTAGTAATTAAGGGAGAAAAAGTTGTTTCCCTTCAACTGTATACTGATTAAGATTGAATGCTCAAAAGAATTTCTCTTGAATAAGAATGTTCAGGATTCTATGTTGAATAGAGTCTGGTGTATAAGGGAATACAGTCAATTAAGAAGTGTGTTGTTTTGGTTAATTAATAGGGTGCTGGTTTGTGAACTTGGCTTAGTCAGAGAAGAAGAATAGTGTAATGTGATACAAAAATCTGTGTGTGCATTGTGAGCAAAGTCATGGATTTGTGTAGACAGGCGTAATAGCTGGACTCTACTGAAAATTGTGGAAAATATTGCTCCTTTTAAGGCTGCTGCTAGGCTCCAGGCGACAACGCGGGAAAGTAGATTTAGCACAAAAATGTTTGATTGGTTAAAATTCAACCAATCACTGATTTTGTAACAAAAATATATGTGAGCAAATTCACAGCAGAAAAATTCAAAGTGGTGACTGCGATTGCTAAATTGTCTTATGGTAAAGCAGTATCTATCTACTAGTCAATCACAGATGAATAAATTGTGGGCATGTAAAGCGTAGCAGTGACTACAAAAGTCCAACATTATTACAACTAACACATCTAGTGAATTAAAAGTTCCTTCATTTGACTGAGAATGCTGTTTCAATCCAAAATTGACCTCTTGGTCACTGGATGCCAGGATGCAGAGGTTTGGGGACCAAAACTTATGTTTTGCTGAGGGTCTGTTGAAATTATGGGAGGATTCTGGGAATGAATATATCCTCCTTTTTTGCCAACCCTGCTGCCTTAATAACTACTGTAGAGAAAGGTGAGATTTCTGGAATGGCTTAATTATAACACCTCCCAAACAAAACTGCTTTCTATTAATCACCTGAGAGACCCCTTTCTGCCTTACATCAGCATGGGTGATGCTAACCTCCAAGAGAGTGACTTCTTGTGCCTTCTCAGTCTAACGTTCTCTGCTAACATGAAGTACAAAGATGGGCTTTTGATGTGGATTGTTACCAGAATTTGTAGTTGTTTTTTTGCAGTTGTTTGTATAGAGTATTTTGATGTTGTTAATTAAGAGTTTTCTTATATCAGATGATTTGAATGGGTTACTGGTGGTGCTGTGTATTGTAACAAGATGTTTTTTTATGGTGAAGTGTCGTTGAGGTGGTATGTGGGCCTACGTGATAGAGCTGTGATTGATTGTGTCCGATGTATGTGCTAGGTTATTTTATATATATATATATATATATATATATATATATATATATATATATATATATATAGAGAGAGAGAGAGAGAGAGAGAGAGAGCGATAGATATACATTCAGGCAGGATATCCTCATTCAAACGTGTTTCAGTGAATAAGAGTTAAATAATTCTTAATTTAAATCTGAAAACTTTTTGCAAAAAAATAAAAAATAAAAAAAAAAATAAAAAATAACATTTTAAGTTTTTTGAATTCTTTCATTTACCTTAATCTAAAACTGACCTCCCATTGCCTCTCATGACCTTTATCTGCTTGCATAGGTACAAGTTCAGAAGATCTATATTAAAAATTAGCAACTTATTGTCTTTCTAGACTTTTTGTGCATCTTGTTAAGCACGTTCACGGCACATTAAGCCCTATTTTCTTTGTACAAATAATTCAAAACATCTTTATTCCTCATCCTTCTCTCTTTAAAACTATTATCTACTACTTGGAAAATTACTATGTACTCTTTACTCTTTTCGCTCAAATAACAACTGCCTTCAGTAACCCTTTACCTTGAGCGGCTCTTTGAACTTGTATAGGGTGAACTATATATATTTTAGTATAAAAAAAACGAGCCCCCCCTCCATTAAACATTCATTCTTTGCAGCAACAATATCTTGCTCAAATACACATCTGTAGATATTTCAGAAATATAAAACATCTGAAAAAATATATAAGACTGAAATAATTATAATTTAAACCAGAAAACATTTTACAAAAACATAACAATCATATCTGTGACCATTTTTGACATTTAAAACACCTGAAAAAAAAAAAAAAAAAAAAAAAAGAAAGGTTAATTAGTTTTTAATTTATTTCTGAAAACATTTTGCAAAGTAAATAAAAATAAAATCTTAAGTTTCTAAATTCGTTCATTTATCCTAATCTAAAGCTGACCTCTTGTGATTGTGATCTGTTTGTAGAGGTACATGTAAAACGAGCCCAACTCCCAAATGAAACAATCATTATTTACAGCAACGATATCTAGCTCAAGCATACATCAGCAGACATTTCAGAGATATAAAACACCTGAAAAAATATAAGGGTTAAATCATTTTTAGTTTAAATCTGAAAACCTTTTGAAAAAAAAAAAGAAGAAAAATAATTTAATTTTTTTGAATTCATTCATTTACCTTAATCTAAAACCGACCTCGAGTGACCTTGATCTGCTTGCATAGGTACAAGTTCAGAAGATCTATATTAAAATTAGCAACTTACTGTCTTTCCAAACTCTTTATGCATGTTGTTGAACACGTCCACGGCACTGTAAGGCCTATTCTGTTTATTCAAATAATTCAAAACAGCTTTATTCACTGAAAACAGAAGAAAAGAGAAAACATCATGATTGGGGTGCTGATAAGTTCTTGACCCTCCTACATTGGTTTGGTTTGGTTTTTATGGCACATAAACATAGGCGGCACCCCGAGGCGGTGTAATGGTTAGCAAGCTTGACTCGCTAGAACAGTTACGATTGAGTTGTGAATTCGATCCTCACTGGGTGCCCCATACTTTCGGCCTTGTGCCACATCTAAGCTACACTTGGAAAATCCCCATTGGGCACCTCGAGGCGGTGTAATGGTTAACAAGCTTGTCTCGCTAGAACAATTACGCCCGAGTATTGAGTTCGATCCTCACTGGGTGCCCCCTACTTTCGGCCTTGTGCCAGATCTAAGCTACGCTTGGAAAATCACTATTGGGCACCTCGAGTCGGTGTAATGGTTAGCAAGCAGGTCTCGCTAGAAACAATTACGACTGAGTAGTGAGTTCGATCCTCACTGGGTGTTCCATACTTTCGGCCTTGTGCCACATCTAAGCTACGCTTGGAAAAATCACTATAAACATATTGCAGGTTATTTACAGCTAGAAAATATTCTGAGATTGGAAGAATTATTTTTTTGGAGATAATAATGATTTACTGATATCCTTCCTACTGATTAACCCATAGCTAAGGGGAGAAAAGATGGATTCATACCCCTTCCAATGCTATTTGCACCTAAATGTATATAACGAACCTGACTGAAATTAGAACTTGGCTCTCCAATTTCCAGTTCTGAGCTGCACATCCAAGCTTACAGCAGGTGATATTCCCAAGCGGTCACCCATCTAGGTAATGACCAGGTTCGATATTGCTTAACTTTGGTGATTATATGAGAACCTGTGTTTCAACTTGATATGGCTGTAAGCCCAGCAATCATAGAATCCTTACAGACAAAATTATAGACGAAAAATGTAAACAACAAATTTTAAACTCTCTTCAGGTCAGTCAGTTATGTGCCATGCATGATACATGTAACTTTCAACACATGACTGATGAGGCAGATTTTTTTCTCCGGCAGTAGGTTGCCATCAAAGGCTATAGTACCTGGTCTGTCCTGCTATTTAACCATAGCTGGGGGGGGGGGAAGAAGAGGAGGAGGATTCATACCTTTCCCAAAGGTATTAGCATGTAAGTAAATTTAATGGATTTGACTAGAATTCAAAATCAGCCCTCTGATTCTTCAATCCCAGCCGCTATCCATTACTCCACTGTGCCTCCTTACAAATCCAATATGTCATTTAGTAAATTTAAGTATTAATTAACTGGATTTTGTAAAAGTAATCTTTGCTTTTTACTTAAAACCAAATGAAAATAATGTTTCTGTCTATATTTCTGAGATGAGGTATTATGTACACTATTTACATTAGTCGGACTATTGTCCTCATCTTTGTCACCATATTTGTCACATTTCGGCCGCTGTATGCTCCGGCCTTCTTCAGGTGGTTGGAATTTCGAACTGAACCCTTTATTTCGATCACTGGGGTAGACTGTTCTAGTTCCAGGTGCCATGTTTGATGGATGTCAGTTATCAGTTATCTCCTGCTAATTTTCCCTCTGAAAGTTCTCCACTGCCTTAACCAGGTATTGAACTCACCTTCTTTGGGTCTGTCACTGGATCTAACCAACGCCTTTATCCACTGTGCCATGGCGACAAAGATGAGGACAATAGTCCGACTAATGTAAATACTGAAAATAATGTTTATTTATGCACGGTAAGCTGTGTGGTCTAAAGTAAAAAAAAACAAAAAAAAACCTTGTATAATGATACCCCTGACTTAAATAGAATGTGAAATTTTTTTTTAAAATATGGAACACCAGAAGTGCAATACTCAATAAATTGGTATTTATATTTTAAAATAATTTATCTTTGATCTTATAAAAGTAATAGTTTAAGGATGTCATTTTTATTCTATACACTTTTATTAAACTATGTAGAATGAATAATTATCTTCTTTATACATTTTAAGAAATTATTGCTTTAGTTAAATGAGACTATTTCAAATTATTTCAAATTATTTCAAATTATTTCCCTCCAAGCAAGGTATCAAAGCCAATAACATGCAGAAATTTACTGTGTGAATTTTGAATTTTATTTTGTGCATAAAATGTGCTGATGACTGTAAATATGGTCAACATGCTGATTTCTGTAATTATGGAGAATGTGCTGATTTCTCTAAATATGGACGTCTACACATGTAATTTTCTAACATCTCTTCAACAAGTGTCTTTGTAAGAAAGGCTATGAACAACCAAAGTGCTAAAATTAAATAAAATATTAGATTATTTAGAATATTTTCCTAAATTTTTGAGATTACTGTGTAGTTAAAAAAATTATAGAAAAAAGCCATTCATGTTGAATTCAAGTAATTTTTACAGTTATGTGCCCTATACTTAAAAATGCCAAATATCAGGTTATCAATAAATGTGTTAACACCGCATAAAAAACCCACCTCTTTTTTTTTTTTTTAAAAAAAGAGTGTTTGTGTGATATTTTAAAACAAAAGTAATATTTGCTTTAGGATTAATTAAACTTTAAATCAGTTAATTTTCCTCAAATAAAGTTTCGAAAAAGTATTTTTATTTTTGAAAGATTTTTTTTAATAAAGAGAATTATATTAACAGATTTGTTAGTTTTACCGATTTTAGTGATTAAAAAAAATAATAATTTCAATCATTTTAAATATGGTTTGAAATACCGCAAAATATTTTGCTTACTTGAAATATTAAACTTAATCTATTAACTTGGAATTGAAACTACAATAAAGGTTTCAAGAAAGATTTTTCATTTTTTAAATACCTTTTAAGAAACGCGACAAAATTTAATTTCTTGAAATTTATAAAATCAAGTCGGTGCTAACAGATGTAAAAGAAATTTTACCAAGATTTTTCAAAAAGAAATATTTAGAAAATAATTCCATTCATTTGTGAATAATTCCAGAAAGTTTCATTAAAATCTGACAATTATTTGATTTTTGCAAGAATTTCCAAATCAATGTTTTACACTGCAAAAAAGACACTAAAATTTCCTATACTGATTTTTGGTACTGCTAATGCAAGAAAAACAAAATTTTTTACCAGAATTTCTAATGTTCTAAAAAGGATGAAAAAAACATAATTTAATAATCACAAAATCCTTTGGTCTTTCCTCTTAATAATAACAAAGATTTTTACAATAAAACTTTCTTTTTATTAAGTTTGGAGCATTTTTTCATCATGGTATGCTCTTTTTTTAGCGAATTAGGAGCAGTACTTACTTTTAGTTTTAAACCTAAAGTATCAGATTTTTTGGAGGTATTACCTGACACAGGAGTTAACCATTGCCAATGAGCCATGGTTAACACCTCCAGTGCTTTAAGTGGGTCTATATTTCTCCTCATTTAACATGGGAGAAATTGCTCAATCCTTGGGATTCCAACCATGTGGCAACACCTTCCTCATCCCACTAAAAAGGTTGGGTTAGTGTAATAATAACTGATGCCAGCATGACGGTGGTTGCAGGAGCTGGGCAAAAATCAATTTTTGTCCTTGGCCCATATGGCGCTCCCCATGTTAAAACGACCTTGTGTCACTTCCAGCCTTGATGGGGAGGGTGAATAAATATACCTACCTAATCATATAATAAAATTCTTACATTTGAATGAAGATAGAGCATCACTAAAACAAAATCAACAGGTTTTACCTCAACCGGAAGCAATAGTGTCAACTGGAGACGAGTGGACCACTCTAAGTTTGATACAGAAAATTTAAATTTGTCTGTAACAGATCAAATTCAAGATGAAAAAACATCCTGGGTATGATGATAAACTCCATCCAGCAGCAAGATTTCTGCAGGTAGGTTTTGAGGGGGCATGGAACCACCTCGGAATTGCTGCTCCACCTTGACCCAGGGTCGTAACACTTATTAGGGTCCCAGCTGTGGGTAAAGAGTCAACTACCCCCCCCCCCAAACTAGGGTCAACACTATGAAAGCATAAAATATTTTTATAGGAAAAATACCACCAATACATTCTTGAAGAAAAATATATTACCAGCAATTTGACTCTAGACAAAAACCCATCAATGAAACTTGATGTACAAATTAATTTCTTATATTATCCAGAAAATCATATCGGCGTCAAATAACTCATTGATTGAGATTGATATGCCGTAAAACGAAATAAACCAAACCTAATCAAACCAAAATGAAAAAAAATCTTTAAAATTTTAAGTACTTAAATGACTGATGTAAAACTCATTTGAAACTAAACTAAACTCATTACTCAAGAAGTTTCTTTTAAAAAATTGTTTTATTTCCCGGCACCAAAGACTTTTTTCATCATATAAAAAAAACCAAAAAAAAACCAATGCCTTATCTTCCAAGTTCTATGTGCCGTTTCCCTTCAGTGGGTTGGCGATCATGGCTCTCCACAATTTCCTGTCGTTAGTAATTCTTCTTCATTTTTTTTTTATCTCTCCTAAAACATTGCTCTGCCATCCATTCACTTTTTACACTTGCTTATTTCTTATTGTTTTTATTTACTTAATTTTTCTTTTTCAAAATTTTACAAGTCAAATTTGGAAATAAAAGTGAAAACACCCAAAAAGATTCGACTATTTTTTTGTACCATTTTTCAAATCATTTTAAAATAAACATCTTACTTTCATTTTAGTTTTCGTTTTAAGACAAAAGTTTTTTTTTGTTTTAATTGCAGGTGAGTTAAGATATATATTCAATAATCATACATTAAAAAGAAAAGGAAAAATTTAAAAAGAAAAATTAGCGATATTAAAATAATTGCCAACATTTTAAAAACATTTCTTATTTTTGTCTTTAAGATTCATTTCCGTACGTAAGAGGAAAATAAAAACCGTGTCGGTTATCAAAACAAACTAAACAAAAATCTATTAATCCGCTATTTTCTAAAATATTACCTTCTTTGTTCTTGCTCATTTTGGTTGCAAGTAAATAACTTCTTCAAATTTTCCTTTCTTTTCTTTTTATAATTCAGAGAAGAAAATTATTATAAAACATTCGACAAACAACAATTCAGTTTACGTTTAGCGCCAGTTGCAACAAATTGCTGATTTGTGAAAAACGGAAAACGAAACCGGAACGAAAAATCCAAAAATGAAAAACACTTTACGGAGTTAAAGATAAAATATCAACATAAAAACGGAATTATTTCGATATAAACAAATTACTTCAATAGAATGCACAGATAAATTTCAGTAAAAGAATAACAGACACTATGAATTTTTATGTAATCAAAATGAATACCGGCTTGGTTTTTATCGCTACAATGAACGACCGAAATTAAGTTTTAGAAAAATGTTATCTCGATAATTAAAAGAAAAGTAATTAAGTAGAAACATTTTGCAAAAAGGAAATTTTATTTCTTTAAAAATATTTTTTTTTATAATGAGAGTTTAAAAAATATTAAATTTATTTTTTCATCTTAAGAAGACAAATTAAGCAATAAAACAATAGATTTATAAATCGTCAAAAAATCCTTATGTTTTAGGAAGGATCAAAGTATTTTTTTTTGGATATTTAAAGTTTTACTACTTTTTAGAGCATTTGAAATTTTGGTTAAAAAGCTTGTGTTTCTTGCGATAGTGGATGAACTAAATTTTTAAAATTTTAGCATAGAAAATTTTCGCCTCTTTTTTTACGGTGACGGACACATTAATTTCGAAATTCTTGCAAAAATCAAAAAGTCTTTTTTAAAATTTTCGCTACTTATTCACAAGTGAATGACTTTATATGAGAAATTTTTTGTATTAGAAAATCCTATTTCTTTTTTCGTGTTTCACTCCTTTACTTAATTCTATGAAAACTTGAGAAATTCAAGGTGATTTTTTTTTTAGTGACTACATTAAATAAAAGCAGAATATATATATATATTTTTTTTGGCAAAAATCTGTTTTGAATCGAAAAGTAAAAAACGCAATAAAACTAAGACATTATTTAAACATTATAAATCCCAAGTAAATATCAGTCAGCTTTTCATAAGTTTAAATGAAAAAAAAAAACATATCAATCATTTTTTTTAATTCCATTTTAAAATCAAGTATAAAGAAATCCTAAATTATATTAAATTTTAATGTCACCTGTTAACTAAAAAAAAATCAATGGATTTTTAAATAAATTTATTAAAGACTTTTGAATTAATTAATAAATTAATTGATACAAGTACTTTAAGGTAATTTCCTTTTAAACAACAACATTTTACGAAAAATAGTGTATATAAAATTAATATTAGTAAGCGACCTTTTCAAGGGAGATAACCAATAAAATTTCTTATAGAGGTAATCTCCCTTTATATGGACATTTTTAACCCATTCACGTAAAAAAATTGGTGTTAATTATAAAAAAAAATAAAATAAAAATAAAAATCCGTTATTAATTATTGGTTTCTAAAAAAAATCAGAAATTACCAACAGGTTTATAAAGAATGCAGTATTAATGTTAGATTTCTAAAAATATCCTATTAATTACAGTTTTATATAGGATTACCAGACGTCCTTTACACACTGGACATGTCACGTTAATTAGATTTTGTGACCCCTTGTTCCGTACAGACCTTTCAGAAATGTTCCGTATTTATTTAATTTTCAAGTTTCGTCACAATGTCGTCATTAGGGTTTTGTATTTTCCAAGACAAACGTTGTTGTGTTTATCATTTTTCTAAGACAAAATTGTTATGTTCATCTGAAAATTAAATTTTTTACGTGTTAAGTGAAAAACACTAAGATTATCACTTAGTTACCTCCCTTAATGTTTGCATGTCTACATGATAAAATTTAAAATTATACTGTACATGACCTTAGGTTTTTTTGGTTTTTTTACTTCACACGAAAAAAAATTAATTTCCAGATCAACAAAACAATTTGCGGTGGGGTGCTTGCTCACAAAAAAAGACATCCGTTATTCAGGCATAATAGGCAATTTTCCCCCTTAATTCATATTTTTATACAGAAAAAAATATGAATTAAGGGGAAAAAAATGCCAATTTTTTTGTCATTGAAAATCCAGACGACACGCTGAATAACGGATGTCTATTTTCGTGAGCAGGCACCCCACCGCACCTAAACTTAACCTGACTTAGTAGGTAACATATATTTGCTATGTAAGTTGTCTGGAATCATATTTTAAAAAAAGAAAATAATTATATATATAGTCGACTCTCCCGTCGAGTTCGACGTATGAGGGTCAAGCAGATCAGTTTCCAGGAAACCGACAGCCCGACACCGGCGCATGAGAACTGATTATGGTGGTGAAGGTTTCGTGCAGGACAAGACCATCCACACTTTTTGAAGGGCCTAATGCAGAGACCTGGTGCACTAAGTGCTACAAGGTCCCCAAACGACCCTCCGCAGGTTTTGAATTCAGAGTTGCCCTTCTCCTAGACCAGTTGCCATCCAAGGCTATAGAACCCAATCTGTCTTGCTATTTTAGCCATAGCTGGAGGGAGAAGAAGAGGATTCACACCTTTCACAAGGGTATTAGCACGTAAGTGAATGTAATTGATTCGACTGGAATTCGAACTCGGCTCTGCGATTCCTCAATCCAAGCCCGCTATCCATTACTCCACCGTGCGTGCGTGCGTGCGTGCGTGCGTGCCTGCCTCTCTCTCTCTCTCTCTCTTTCTCTCTCTCTCTTTCTCTCTCTCTCTCTCTCTCTCTCTATCTATCTATATATATATGTGTGTGTGTTTTTTTTTTATCTTTTATGCTATTAAGTATTATATTATGATAATTTAAGTTCTACCAACAAAGGAGAAATGTTTATAACCATCTAGACGCATATGTACCATGGATGATTTAGCGATTATATATATATATATATATATATATATATATAGAGAGAGAGAGAGAGAGAGATTTTAAGAGTGCCCCGTATTTCAAATTTTCTAATCTCGTAACCCCCGGTTTATACCAAAATATTAACCTAAAAAATCGAGTGATGTTCTTAAATATCCTACAGGAAATAAACCTTATTTCCAACACAATTACATACTCACATACATACCATATTAAATCGCGCCCAAACTATGTTTTCCTCCCAATAGCAGACAATATTAAAAACTTAAAACGCATCAGCTTTAATAACAGCTTGGACGGCCTGTGAATCTTCACTGACAATCATGTCACGGTGACATCAAATGAATCATCTCCAACAACAACAAAGGCGGTCAGTGAGTTTTTGCTGACGATAAAAGTATTTTCTCAACTTTTATGCGTACCAACTATTTAAGAGTAATTTCTAAAGCATATAATATGTTCATATATTCTTTCATTTAATTTTTTAAGGCAATTCACCCCAAGCAAGATGGGAGTGTCACTAGCACGCAAGTGGTTACAGATGATTGAGAACAAGAGTAAAGAGGCATGTTTGATGAAAAGGATACAGAGAAGGACAGGGAACAAGCTGAGGGTATCAGATGTCGATTGACATTACACTTGAATATTTGAAGATCATAGTCATCGGGGAAGCAAGTAAGGGGAAGTGAGTTCCACAGATGGAAAGTGTGAGAGAAGAAGCTGTTTGAGTAGAAGAGATGGTTATATTTAACCATTTTGACAGTGAAAGAGTGGGACCGAGATGCCAGTCTGGTAGCTCGCTTAAATTCTTGCAGTCTGGGAACCAGTGAAAGTAGCTTGTTGGAACAGTTGCCGTGAAAATACTTGTAGAAGAGACAGAAGAAAGCCACATGACACTCTTAAACCGCTTACCCTTTAAAGTGAGATGTTTCAGCCATGATTGACCCATCCATCTATCTATTTATCTATCTTCAGTTTTTTTTTTTAAGCAATTCAACCAAAGCAAGGCAGGAGTGCCTCTAGCACGCAAAGGGTTACAGAGGATTGAGAACAAGAGTAAAGAGACATGTCTGAGGAAACGATACAGAGAAGGACGCGGAACAAGCTCAGGGTGTCAGATGTCAATTGCCAATTTATTTGAATATTTAAAGATTATAGTCATTGGGGAAGCAAGTAAGGGAAAGAGAGTTACACAGACAGGAAGTGCGGGAGAAGGAGCTGTTTGAAAATAAGGGACGGTTACATTTAACCGTTTTGATAGTGAAATGGTGGGGCTGAAATGCCAACCTGGTAGCTCGTTTAAATTAAGTCCGAGAACCAGCGAAAGTAGCTCATCGGAACGGTTGCTGTGAAAATATTTGTAGAAGAGACAGAGGGAGGCCACAGCACGTCTGTGGAATAGCGATTGTAGACTAGATGCGAGATCAGGGCCTATCATCTTGCATATTCGTCTCTGGATTTTGTCAAGGACCTCGAGACGTACAGTGGGAAGACAAGACGATAAATGGCCGCAATATTCCATACAAGGACGGATGGTTGATTTATAGATTTGAAGGATGGACTTAGACGAGAAAAACTTTCTGGCACGGCACAGAGAACCAACTTTCCTTGCAGTAGATGAAGCTATTGATTCGATATATTTATTTCACCTCAATTCAGTGGACTACGCGAGACCAATCAGGCGTAAGGAAGCGCTCTCAAGGAGTTGGGAATCAGTCATTCTGATGGGAGGCAGGAAGGGTTCTCTGTGGTGGTGGTGGGGGGGGGTAAAGGAGAGAAGTTTCATTTTGGAGGCATTAAAGTTTACAAGACATTTCCTGCCCCAGTCAACCACCGATTGGAGGTCCTTTTCGAGATCAGCAGCCAGGTCAGTTTTGTCGACGATACCAGATTTACTATTGAGGCAGGAGTAAATAGTAGTGTCGTACGCGTAGTTGCCTACTCGGTAACTGATGACATCGGTAAGGTCATTAATGAAGATCAGGAACGGTGTAGGGCCCCAAATAGAACATTGGGGGACATCAGCGTTCGTGATAAAGGACCTGGAGGGAAACCCGTTTAGGACAACCTTCATTTCACGGTTTGACAGGAATGATTGTATTAAGTCAAATAATCGTCCTGTAATGC